ATCCCTTTCTCTCGCCATGCACAAAAGTGAATTCAAAATGGATCAAGGAGCTTGATATCAAATCAGAGACACGCCGTCTGATAGAAGAAAAAGTTGGCTATGATCTACAGTCGGTGGGGTCGGGCTCCAAATTCCTCAATAGGACACCCATAGCACAAAAGTTAATAACTAGAATCAAAAAATGGGACTTACTCAAACTAAAAACTTTTTTCTCAGCTAAAGAAACAATAAGAGAGGTAAATAGAGAGCCTACATCCTGGGAACAAATCTTTACTCCTCACACTTCAGATAGAGCCCTAATATCCAGAGTATACAAAGAACTCAAAAAATTAGACAATAAGAGAACAAACAACCCAATCAACAAATGGGCCAAGGACCTGAACAGACACTTCTCAGAGGAGGACATACAATCAATCAACAAGTACATGAAAAAATGCTCACCATCTCTAGCAGTCAGAGAAATGCAAATCAAAACCACCCTAAGATACCGTCTCACTCCAGTTAGATTGGCAGCCATTATGAAGTCAAACAACAACAAGTGCTGGCGAGGATGTGGGGAAAAGGGTACTCTTGTACATTGCTGGTGGGACTGCAAATTGGTGCAGCCAATTTGGAAAGCAGTATGGAGATTTCTTGGAAAGCTGGGAATGGAGCCACCATTTGACCCAGCTATTCCCCTTCTCGGTCTATTCCCTAAAGACCTAAAAAGAGCATGCTACAGGGACACTGCTACATCGATGTTCATAGCAGCACAATTCACAATAGCTAGACTGTGGAACCAACCTAGATGCCCTTCAATGGATGAATGGATAAAAAAAATGTGGCATTTATACACAATGGAGTATTACTCTGCATTAAAAAATGACAAAATCATAGAATTTACAGGGAAATGGATGGCATTAGAGCAGATTATGCTAAGTGAAGCTAGCCAATCCCTAAAAAACAAATGCCAAATGTCTTCTTTGATATAAGGAGAGTAACTAAGAACAGAGTAGGGTCGAAGAGCATGAGAAGAAGATTAACATTAAACAGGGATGAGAGGTGGGAGGGAAAGGGAGAGAGAAGGGAAAATGCATGGAAATGGAAGGAGACCCTCAGAGTTATACAAAAGTACATACAAGAGGAAGTGAGGGGAAGGGGAAAAATAATATAAGGGGGACAAATGAATGTCAGTAGAGGGGGTAGAGAGAGAAGAGGGGAGGGGAGGGGAGGGGAGGGGAGGGGAGGGGGGATAGTAGAGGATAGGAAAGGCAGCAGAATACAACAGACACTAGTATGGCAATATGTAAATCAATGGATGTGTAACTGATGTGATTCTGCAATCTGTATATGGGGTAAAAATGGGAGCTCATAACCCACTTGAATCAAATTGTGAAATATGATATATCAAGAACTATGTAATGTTTTGAACAGCCAACAATAAAAAATTAAAAAAAAAAGATATGATACTAGTTCCCCTGTACGTCTTTTAGCAGTAAAAATTCTGGAGAAAAATAAATGAAAATTTGAGGAGATAGAATAAAGTATGGTCAGAAAGTAAGGGAAACTACAAGGATTCAATCATTCCTCCCAAACAAGGGATAGCTGGGAGTCATTATGGACTCAATACTTGAGGTGAAGAAGTAAGGGAGCAGGGTCTTGGGGCTCAAGATGACCTCTGCACAGAGAGGGCCACCGGAGGGGACCTGGGTCTTCACTGGGGATGCAGCACCACAGGTAACAGCAGAGGAGCAGGAGAATACACTTAGACTACGGGAGGGCAAGACAGCTTCCCTGTGTTCTTCAGGGCACTGAGCAGGGTAGAAAGAGGGACAATGAGGACAGACACAGGCCAGACCTCCAGTGAGCTGAGTGAGGCCCTGTGGAGAGTGGCTGCTGCTGCTACAGCGAGGCAGGTCACCTGAATCAGCCTGGTCCTTTCCCCCTCAAGGCTTCCCACAGGAGCTGCAGAGTTCACCTGCCAAGGAAGAGGAGCATATGTCACCAGTTACATTTGGATTTCTAATAAGCAATGAATTTAAGCAGGCATCTGTACTCTGTCTGGTAAGCCTAGTTCCAGGCCTCCTAAGGACCCTGGTCAGCCTTACCTCAGTAGGTACACGGAGGCAAAGAGAGAGAGAAAGAGCATGAAAAGGGAGATTGCAGATCTGGCTTTTTCAGGCAGCAGTCAAGTGCAAGGCGAGCCTCCATACCCTCTTTGCCAGTCACAAGGGAAGGTGCAGAGAGCAGCTAGGAGTCAATCAGAGTGAAAGGTCTTTGCTTTCCAGCTTGTGGAAATACAAGAACAGATGCCCAAGAGGCAGGATTTCTCCAAAGAGGCAGCTGTGCCTTGGGCTCCATGACCCATTCAGTGTCCTCATTCACAGGCCACAAATCATAGCAGTCCTTCTCCTCCCCCACCTCCTCCTCCTCCTGCACTTGTTCCTTAGGCTGAAGTTGAGTACAGGGGCCACAGAGCCACGTGTTCCAAGTTTGGAAATCTATCATTCTCAGGAAGCTGACAGACATGGGATTTCTCTGCCAAAAAGTAGACCACTGTTCAATTCAGAACTCTGATCCATTCTCACCTGGCCCTTCTTAAAAAATAGACCCCCTTAGCCTCAATTTCACTTTGCAAGGTTTCTGTTACCTATGATTAACCAAGGTCAAATGCCTACATATTTAGGAACAGGTGGATGATGCTTATTAACATACAAATTGAGAGTCTACACTTAATCCCTGGCAAAACTTCAGAAAATCATTAAACATATGGCTTCTGAGCACTTATAAAGTATAAAATGATCGCTTGGAGACTGCCTGGGAAGAATAAATCTTGTTCAACTGGTCCATTAATTTGCCTTAATAGCAAGGTGAGGTTGATGGATCAGAGAGTACCACAGACGTAAGATCTCTTGAATTCAAGATAGCATTCAGAAATTTCCTCACAAAATTACCAGAGATAGATGACAGTTGTGAGAGCAGAATGTTAATTCAATGAGGCCCATTCTTAGCTGGTAACTCTCTGGCACAGGCATTGATTAATGGATTGAAATTGACCAGGAGGGAGGCTCAGAAGTGTGTCTATTTGCCAAGCATCTTAGCACATGCCTATAACACCAACAGCTCAGGAGGCTGAGGTTAGAGGCCTTCAGCAACTTAGTGAGATTCTGTCTGAAAATAAAATATAAAAAGGGCTGGGGATATTGCTCAGTGGTTCATCCCCCTTGGATTTAATCCCCAGTACCAAAAAAAAAAAGTGTGTTTATTTAAAATGCTCTTTAGCATCACTCTGGATACCACTTCTTTTAAGAGAGACTGTGAGATATATATCTATATATTTATATAGATATAAATATATATAAATTTGCATGACCTAGAGAGAGAGAGAGAGATACACGAATGATAGGTATCTCTGGTTTTCTGTTGAAACCAGAAAGAGAAGAAGCTAGGTCAGAAAAAGCTGTAAAGTAGTGTCAGAGAAGCATTAAAGGAAATGTAAATATTTAATTAAGATAAATGAATCATGAATATTTGATTAAGATAAATACATTAATCTATGGTTGGATGTAAAATCTTAGGCTTTTAAAACTAAATGCAGTCAACCAGTCTCCCAAAACTCTAACTAATGTCAAAACTGGATTCATGAGCGTCTGTTTTCATCCACGTCAACATCCATTGAAAACCTCTTATTTGCAAATGCTGCACTCAGGGATGGGAGCACAAAAACACGTAAGTTGCAGTTTCTATGTCCCAGAACAAAATTTGCTTGAAGACAGAAGAATATAAGCAACTCATTATAGCACGCTGTATTTGTAAACAAAATAGAAACTGTTATAATAACATAGAGGAGGGAATAATATAGTTAGTTAGGGAGGAGGTGCCCAAGAGAAAATAGCTCAATGTATTTGGAAGCAGAAAGTCTGCAGAGGCGGCTTCAGGAGTCAAGTTTAACAGGAGAAGGGATCAGATTTCTAAGGACATTGAAAGAGTGCTGGATTGTTTGATTTTATCTGCTGGATAGTTGAAGCCATGGAATGTTCTACAGAAATAACATGTTGGAATCTGTTTTCAAAACAGTAACTGAGAGAGACAGGAGGGTGAATCATTTTAAAATGTGGGCTGTGATTAGTCTGTCTGTGTTCAAATCCCAGCCACGTCACTCAGCAGCTGCATGACCTTATATGGGCTTTGTGGCCTCTGTTGACTCAACTGCTTCATATTCAAATGGGAAAAGCAATTAAAACAAATTTGTTTGGTGGTTATAAGTTCTCAGTCATTATTAGCTGGTTTTGAAATGTTATTCATGGATATTGAAAAGAATTCTTGAGATTTGCCAGGAGATACCTGTACCTTCTAGACAAGAGCTGATAAGGACCTGAATGAGAGAGGACAGTGGCACTGGGAAATAGGACATGAAGGGACAGAATCCATCCAGGTACAGGATCTTATTCATCCCTCTGAGATAGCATCTTTGCGTTCTCCTTAGGAGGCAGTTTTCCAGCTGAGGCAAAATGTGATGATTCGATTCATTCATTCAATGAATATTCCTTGAGAATCTACTAGGTCTCAGGCACTATGGTAATTAAGGAAAGATTGGATAGAGGTGAACAAGATGAAAAAAAAAGAGGTGATGAAGAAGATGATCATAATTCTTGATTTTACAGGACTGATATTCTAGAGTTGAATAAATAAGCACTTACAATTAATGTCATTGATGTCATGATAATAGGAGTACAGGGAGCTAAGGGCCAACTTCAGGCCATCTGAATGTAATCTTGCAAAACTGTTGGGTCAGGGGATGATTCCTGGAAGAGATGATGTCTGCACTGAGACCTGAAGAATTCTTTGGAATGGTAATTAACTGGGAGAGGGAAAGAAAAGAGAAGTGGGAAGTTTCACAGGGAATGCTTCAGTTAATTGCAACTGTTTCCTGATCTGCTTGCTTATAATACTCTTTTGACCCAATTATTCAGAAGAGTTTTCATTTTGAAACAATGATTTCTATGCTTTACCATGAACAGGAATTACCTTCATTTTTAATACCTTACTGGGAACTAATAGAGAATTCCTACATCAGCACCATCAAAACGGTTCTCAGGCATCTGAGAGAAGACCAGCATGCTGTACTTGCGTACTTATACCAGATCAGGTGAGTAAAGTTCCAGAGTCAGAATTTTACAGTTTACAGGTATGACATATAATATCCCTCTCCTTCTCTCAATGTCTTACAGAACAAGTTTCCAGGAGTTTCTAAGGCGTCCTGATCACAAGCAAGATTTCGTAGCTCAGTGGCAGGCTGATTTCAACTCTCTTCCTGATGACCTGTGGGATGATGAGGAAACAAAGGCAGAACTGCACCAAAGAGTGAATGTAAGGACAGCGGTGACATGCTGGGCCAGGGCCCAGTTCATTTCTCTGACCTGCCTGAGAGTGAGGATGAGAAAGGCAATGGTTTGAACTTTTACCAGGTTAATTCTCCAGAGCAGAGGCTCTTCTGTGCTTTGCATTCAGAATGAGAATGTGGTGGCAACACTTCTGGAAAGAGAAGCCAAGGTCTCTGCCTTGCAGGTTCCCTCTTGGCCTCTGTCTTATAAATTCCTGTCCCCTTTGTTGGTCCATGTGGCTGCACTCATGTCTGGTGTTAATCACATGCCTGTCTTGAACACCATCATATGGTCAGTCAATGGCAAGAAAGCAGGGCAAGAGGAAAATAAACATTTCTGTAATAATTTTGTCTATGATGGCTCTAAAAATTCCTTCTAAGAAGGTGACACTTGAACAGACTCAGGAGAGAAGTGATGGAGTGAGCCACGTGCATGTTTAGAGGAGGGTATCTCAACCACAGAGAAAAGCAAGGGAAAAGACCATGAAGGTACAGGATGCTCAGTGCTTTTGAAAAACAGCAAGGAGACTGTTGTAGCTGGAGCAGAGAGAGAATGGGCAAGTGGTTTGGTGATAAGACTGGAGAGATTGTAGGGGACCATGGTACCTAAGGCCCCAGAGGTCAGTATTAGGGTATTGGCATTGATCTGAATGAGATGGAAAGCTTCAGTTGCTGGTCTCAAAAGATCCTATAGGGGAGAAAAATGAGCAGGAAGAGCAGTTTGGAAACCAGCTGGGAAGCTTTTATAACAAGGGCAAGGCCTCATGGTAGCCTGGTTGATGCAGAAGGGTTTGACCCAAGAGGTACTTAAATGTGCTAGTGAAGCTGAGGTGTTTTACTTGTTCTTAGACATTCCTTAAAAAGTAGTAGTTAACTGGGTTGTGTTGGTCGGATTTTCATCACTGTGACCAAAAGTCCTGACTGGAAGGAAGAAAAGTTTATTTTTGCTCAGAGTTTCAGAGGTTGAGTCCATGGTTGGGCAGCTCTGACTCTGTATGCCCGGGGTGGCCAGAACAAGATGGCGGAAGTGGGCAGAGGAAAGCTGCTCAGTGTGTAACAGCCTGGCAACAGAGAGCTTCAGAGCCAGGAGCCAGGGATAGAAAGTCCTCCAGGGCACACCCCCAAGACCTGCTTCCTCCATTCACACCTACCTGCCTACAGCTCCACCCATGATCCACCCGAAGTATCAATCCATCAAATGGATTAATCAGTCAAGGCAAGGAAAAGAAAAACGAGAACTGGATTAATCCACTAACTAGATTACAGCTTTTATATCCTAATCATTTCACCTCCAAACCTTCCTGCAGGGGAATTTCAGGGTACACCTCATATCCAAACGGTCATGTACGCAAATCCTAAGACTGACTCTTCTTTTTTCTATTTCTTTCCTACCTATTCATAAAACCACCCCCAAGCCAGCCCTCATGTATACTTCATCCTAATATTAGTCAACTGATTATTGACAGATAACACAGTAATTTGAAATTTTAAAATATCTTATCACACTAAAATTTTAAATTTCATTTCAAGCAGCAGGTTGTATGAATACTCTCAACATTAGATTCTATCTTCTTTTTCAATCTTTGCCCACTTATTGGGTAAAAATGTGGATATCTTCTTATAATTTATATTTCTATTTTTATAGTTGAAGCTTACCATATTTTCATAGGTTTAGTGGTCATTTATTTTCTTTCTCCTGAAGTCATTTTGTGACTTTTGCCCACTTTTCTATTGGAGTATCCTTTTTTTCTTATTGATTCCTATGACTTCTTTATATATTAAGGATGTAAGCTACCTGTTGATCATGTTACAAGTATATACTCTGTTTGATGTTTACCTTGTATTATTTGTAGTGAGTTTTAACATGTAGAATGTTTTGAATATTTTTGTAGATAAATATAAAAATTTTTCATTATAGATTCTTAGTTTTAATTTAAAAATATTTTTTCATCCCAAGTTTATATTCAAATGTATCATGTTTTTAAAATTTCTACAGTTGTATGTTTTCGTTTTAAATATTTAAGTTATTCTCTTGTTTTAATAAGGTTCTCATTTTATCTCCTCCCCCCCCAAAAAAAGCTAATCAAATTGTACAAGCCAGTAATATGTCGACATTGAGTCCATATGGTATATATGTGGAAAAGGGGGGAAATAACATACAATCTATATTTCTACTTGGAAGGTTCAGTAAATACTAGACAAATAAGTTTCACCAAAGATATTATACTCTTTTTAGCTATGGATCCTCAGCAAGAGCATACAGTAGAAAAACTTCTGAAATTAAAAAAAATAATAATGCCTTTGTGCACATGCACTATGGTGCATTCTCTCTCTCTCTCTCTCTCTCTCTCTCTCTCTCTCTCTCTGTCTGTATACATATATATGTATATATGTATAATGAGTATATATAATACACATGTGTATATGTATATATATACTCATCACATATGATGGATGTATTCCTTTTGGGTTTTTTTCTTTGACTTATTATTAGATGTGAAAGAATAGAATCAATGTAACTTCAAAAGGAAGCTAGAAGATAAACCTGAGAAAAGGAGAATAGAGTTGATGAGGATAAAAGCACAACTTGACAAATAAAGAACATCAAACTTACAATATCAGCCAGGCAGAGAAGTTTCCGAAAAGAAATCATCAAAGAAAAAAATACAAACACATTTTCCATTCAATAGAAATCATGATATTATTTATGGATACTAGGAGATAACATACATTATATACTTTGTACTTGTAAAGTTCAATAAGTTTGGGACAAATCAGTCTTATTAAAGCTATTATAATTCTTTAGCAGTGGGCCCTCAGCAGGAGAACATATAGTAGGGCAACTTAAGAAGTTTTAAAAGAAAGAATGAAAACATGGCTGTGCTTCGTATGCTATATTTAGAATTAGGTTTAGAATGGATTTTATGTTTTTCATTTTTTTAAAAGTGTTACAGGTAATTCTGATCAAAACAACTGCTCTTCTTTTTAATTTTTTTTAAGTTGTAGATGGACACAATACCTTTATTTTATTTATTTTTATATGGTACTGAGGATCGAACCCAGTGACTCACATGTGCTAGAAGTGCTCTACCACTGAGTCACAACCCCAGCCTCTCAACTGTTGTTCTTTTACATTTCCATACCTCGATGATCTTGCAAAATCTAATGAAAGCTAAAAACTCCTGTGGCTGTTGCATCCTTATCCATTTTCTTCGTCATAGTTTTGATAGTGATGCAGCAGTAGTAATAGCTAAACACTGAGCACAGGCTGGCACATCTTATTTCATTCCCAAGACAACAATCTGAGACAGGAACTAGGAATGATCACAGTTGACAGGTGAAGAGCTGTGGCAGAGGTCAGCATAGTAACTGGCAGCTCTGGGGTCTGTGGCCCAGCAGCCTGGCTCCCCTTTAAGCTACTTCTCCAAGCAGCATTATTGGACACTGGAAGAAGTATGCTAAAGCGAATCTTCAGGATCTCCTGGAACTATTTATAGCATAATAACCATTTTTGCCAAAGTAAATTTTTTGTCTTGAATTTAACTTTTATTCAAATACCAGTCCTATGTGCCTTACTTTATTTTTTTATTTGCATTTGCCTCATAAAAATTTTCCAGTTTGAACTTTCTGTGTCATTTTGTTTTATGTGAATCTCAAGTAAATGCCATATAAATTGGGTTCAAGTTTTTGACCCAAGAGAAAATATTTACAACATTTGTAAAAGTGGACATTTTCACTGATGTTGTCTTCCTAACCTTCTCAACGAAGTCATGAATATTTCTTAAATCCTGCCTATCTTAGATTATTCAGGAATATTTAGTAATTCCTCAATTTCTTTGAAATAAATTGTGAAAGCCAGCAATGCCTTTAGCTAAGGCCATAATAAACATTGGGTGTTTAAATCCTTTGATCCTTGGTGATATGCCTTGTTCTTGGATTATTTCATCTCAACCTTATGAACATGGTGAGCAGAGTAGTTCTGCCATTGTACCACCCACATTCTTCTCCCAGGAAAACTGAGCCACAGAGGTGATATAACTTGCACAGGTCCCACAGTGAGTCAGCAGCAGAAAAAGAACTCAGAACAAGGTTTTCAGAATCCTGCTTTTATATCTTATCCTTTGCTGAATACTCTCTTATCTTTTAAAAAATGTATAAATATTTGATAACCAGAAGTCAATATTTATTGAATGTCCCACAGAGCATTTGTGGAAACAGCATCTAGATATCGGGATCAGCTCTAAAAAATGGTATATTATCCTGACAAAATAACTTGTGATGTTTTCATTTTATGTACCGCCTACGCACAGAAATGCACCAAAATGTTAAGAGTTCAAGTACAAAGTGTTTAATAAACAGAGCCTCACACCAGCAAAATTCACTGTAGACACTAGAGTTACATGGCTGGGGTTCAAATCCTGACTCCACCAAGACAAAATCATAGGCAAGTGACTTACCTCCCTGTGAGAGCATTTAACACAGTCCCCGACACACAATAAATGTTTAGTGAATCATATTATTGAAAAAACTGTCAAATTTGAGGACTGTATATATTTAACTATTGGGATATTTTATTAAACAAACATTTTATTGCTATGAATAAGATTGTAATAGTAACCTTCATTAATTGAGGAATTATGGTGAACACTGTGCTAAGCACTTTATTTACATGAACTAATTTACTGTAAATAACATATCCAAAGAATGTCCTTATCTCCCTTTTTACGGATAAAGCAATTGAAGCATAGTACAGTGGTGATGGTACTCAAGGCCAAAGTTTCATCTCCTGGCTCCGCCGTTTACTCATTGTGAGACCCAAGGAACATAGCCTTTCTGTGACTCACCTCACCTGCAAAATGAATATAAAAATAGTACCATCTAAAGCTGTTGTGAGATGTTACATGTAGAGTGATTTGTGCTGAAACACACTGACACACATAGGAAGAGCTCAGTACCTGTGACCATTGTTATTTTACAATTTATATACAAATAAATTTGGTCTTTTAAAATTCCCACATTATAAATATATGTAAATATTATGTGTTACTATATTTATCAATTTTATTAATGATCAAATCTGGTATGGGGCAGAACTAGTATCTTAAAAGTATCTTACTATTAGTTCTTTAATACCAAACTTATTTTTGGACCATCCCATTAAGTTCAGATGACAGCTTTTGGTGACTAACAGATTCTACCTGTGATATCAATCAACAAGTCTATGCCCTTATTTACATGAAGCTGTGTACACCATTGCTCAAAAAAAAAATACATGAAAATATTTTAAACCAAGCAAATTTTTTTTGAGGAAGGACTAAAATTCATGAAGCATCCATGGATAACATGACTGAAGTGGATATGTAACAGATGGGGGCACATGAGCAGGGTGGTAGCACACACCTATAATCCAGAAACTCAGGAGGCCTAGACAGGAGGATCTCAAGCTCAAGCCCAGCGTGAGAAACATAGCCAGTTCTATCTTAAAATAAAAAAAGGTTGGGAATGTGTCGGTGGTAAAGCACCCCTGTGTGCAATCCATAGTACAAAAAAAAATTAAAAATATGTAAAATAAAAATGGCATATGATTTACAAATAGAAGCAAAGTAATTACTGGTTCAAGGAATGAATATAATACATGAGTACACTAGGTCTAAATTTTCTTTAGGGACATTTTTAGGAGAAGCATGATATTCTAGGTTGTTAACACTGAGGCAAATAGAACTTTAATTCTCAAGCATAACCTGGCTCTGGTCTTTTCCGATCAGGATCTGCGAGACCGCCTGTGGGACATTTGTGATGCCAGGAAGGAGGAGGCAGAGCAGGAGCGACTTGATATCATTAATGAGAACTGGTTGCAGGACTGTCTTGGAGTAATGATGAACCACTTTTTTTCACTGATGCAGGTGAGAGCAGCTGGTCACAATGACACAGACCTCCCCGCAACAGCCACATCCCGCATGCCCAACTCATTTGTGAATATTAGGGGTCCGTTCAAATATCGTTTTGCTCTTAGAACTTTGCCTGGTATGCATTCCAGTTTGCCAAGAAAATTAGCCAAACTAAATTAATTTGGCCTCAGCCAAGCAAGCATACAGACTGGAAGCATCCCCACCAGCTTCTCACCAGCTTTACTTGCAGATGCCTAGATATGTAGAGGACAGCAACTGAGTTGTTTACCTTGGTCTTTCAAAGCAGACACCCAGAGTGGCTAGGAAGGCAATCCTGCCACAATGCACAAAGCAGCAGACATTAGAATTTCTGAAAATAAAAGATTTTCTAGTACTGGATTGGAAAAACAGACCATTCATCAGAAAGACCTGCTTAACTTATATTAACAGCCTATTAAATAAAAATTTTATGAGACAAGATAAAAACACAGACACCAATTTTATTCTTTTTTTCTTTTTTGGTACTGGAGATTGAACTCAGGGGCACTTGACCACTGAGCCACATCTCCAGGCCTACTTTTTGAATTTTTTTTATTTACAGAGTGTGTCACTGAGTTGCTTAGCACTTCGCTTTTGCTGAGGCTGGCTTTGAACTTGCTATCCTCCTGTCTCAGCCTCCCATGACCCTGGGACTACAACATGCTTGCGTTACCATGCCCAGCTACAATTTTATTCTTATACTCCTGCCAGCAATAGGGGAAAGAGCAAAGACGAGTCTTTGGCACCCAGCTCCTCCAAGGCAAACTACTAGAGAGCTTTTGAGAGCTGGCATGGGGTGGAGGTTGGAGCCTTATGAGCCATCTGTATTTGATAATTGCCTTACCCAAAGGGGAAAAAAAAAACAAAAAAACACTCTCCCACCTTCATTCTGGGAAGTAGTTTTACAGCTTGGAGCAAAGCACCTGTAGAGGTTGGTGTCCTACCCTCATCAGGAGCCCAGAGGCACTATCTTCCCTGATGACTAATCACATTTCAAAGAGATGCTTCTTGGTCTTGAGAAGGACATTTCTGGGTTCTAAGTCTGATAAGAGGTTTTTAAAAGATTTGTATCTCAAAGAGTCAAAGAAAGGATCTACAAGAATGAGTTTTCTAAAGTACTCTAAAAAGAGGGAGGGCAAGAGCCTAGAGTCAAGAAGAAGCCTGTCTAAACCTCAGTCAGGCTGAAAGGACTATTAAGGCTAATGTCCACATGAGTATTTCTCCTAAAAGAAAAATACTGAAGATGGAGGATGGAAAAGTTAATCTTGAATTAATTAACTCACAAGAGGAAATGCTGCAAGAAATGAGGATATTTATCTGGCAATCTCTAAAGCTTGTTGCATAGTAGGTGTGCAACGAATGCTTGTTTGACAAATGACCAATGAACGCTAGGAGTTCCTGCTTTCAAACCGGCAAACCATGTTGCAGGGGCAGGCTGGACCACAGGAGGCCTGAAGAACCAGCAGAAACCCGAGGGACAGGAGCAGCTTTGTTGATTACAATAGTCTCCCCTCCCCTTTATGATTTCACTTTCACAGTTTTAATTAGCTTCCATCAACTGTGGTCTAAAAAACTCGCTACTGCTTTGTTTTCCTTTGCTTTTGAGACAGGGTCTCACTAGTTGCTCAGGTTGGCTCCAACACCTGGATCAAGCAGTCCTCTAACCTCAGCTTCCCAAGTAGCTGGGACTACTGGCATGTGCCACTGTGCTAGGTGGTCCAAAAGTATTAAATGGAAAATGCTAGAAGTAAATAATTTACAAATTTTAAATCATCTACCATTCTGAGTATCATGATAGAGTCTCCGTTTGTCCCACTCTAGACCATCGCATTCTGTTCCATTTTACCTGGGATATGTCATCCCCTTAGTCTAGCACATCCGAACTACATATGCTGTCCACCCATTATTCACTGGTAGCCATGCAGGTTATCAGATCAACTATTCTGTTTTTTCAGTTCTTGTATTCAGGTAACTCTGTGTCATAGCCTAATGTTATGTTGTAATACCTGCACCTCACCTCCTATTGTCACACAAGCATTGTTCTACCTCACATCATCACACACACACCAAAAAAAAGTGAGTATAGTGTAATAAATATTTTGAGGGATTATGGAATCCCTCACATGTTTTATTACTGTATATTATTATAACCTTTCTATTGCATTATTAGTTGTTATTGTTCTCTAGCTATGTATAATTTAATTAAACCTTATCATTCACATGCATGCAAAGGAAAAACATGGTATATATAGTGTCTGGTGCTATCCATGGTTTCAGGTTTCCACTGAGGGCCTTGGAATGTATCCCCCATTGGATAAGAGGAAACTACTATATTAGCACTGAGATCCAGTTAGGAGACTTAAGGAAGTCAAGAAAACAGGACAGGAAAGACCTATGCAGGAATATGGGGACTCTGGATTGGGAAGTGAAGATGAAATGCAAAAGAGTTCACCTAAACCTGAGGACAGAGATGAGTGATAATCGGGATGACAGTGAGATCCCAGGAGCATGAGTTGTGCACAAAGATCAAAGTGAGATGCTTGACCAGCCTGAACAAGTAGCATCCCCAGAGCCTCAATTTGAGCAAGCAGTGGTCAAATCTTGAGAACAGGTCTGTCTAAAGCTTATGGCATAAACAGCTACAATGCAATAATGAAGGCAGAAAATGGAAAATTTTTGTAAATCATTGTGAGCCGTACACGTCTCTTCAGGAAATGAAATGAGTTTGATATTACAGCAATATCTCAATTTAAGGCTCTCATCCTGACAAACCAAACTAATATTCAATACCAACTAGAAGAAAAGAAGATAAGGAGAAAAGCAGTAAATGTTAAACATTTATTAAGTTCTTACTGTGTACCTGCCAGGTACTATTCTAAGAACTTTCAAGTACAACCCATTAAACCTTCACAACAACCCTATGCTGTAAATTCTATAATCATCCTCATTTGACAGATGAGGAAACTGAGGCTGGCACAAGAGAAACAATTTACCCAATGTTCCCAGTTGGTAAGTGGAAGAGCAGGGATTTGGACTGGGTGCAACTGCAGAGCCAGTGCTCCTGTCTGGCCACTGCTGTGTCACCAACATTGTTCAGATAACCAAAGAGTCACCAGATAGAAAAGAGAGAGACTTATTCTGCACTGATGGATAGGATCCCATAAAAGCCAAGAACAGACAAGGCAGGAAAAAAGCAAGTTTATTTCAGTATATGAACAAAGAGCCTAATGATTAAAACTGTTCATTAAATAACAGACTTCAGAGCCTTCGTTCAGAAAGCACAAAAGCTAAAACTTGCACATTTGTGGAGGACCAAGGAAAAGAACCCTTGAGAATGTTCTCAAGAGCCTGTGGTACTGGTTAACAAACTGCTAGATAAGTGCTTTCCAAGTAGGCTCCACGGACTACTAGTCCTCCAAGATGTTTTGCAAAAAGAGGACTCCATGGTCAGATGACTTTATAAAGTGCTTCACAACTCTAGCCCTCCCTCCCCCTGGGAGATTAACAAGCATATTAACATATTTAGACATCAAGATGCTCTGTAGTAAAGAAATCCTTTTCATGTGTTAACCCAGCATTTCTGAAACTATTTGACCTTGCAAAGTTTGTATTCCTTTCATCTCCAACAAGGTGCTCCTTAACAGCCTGTAAGGATATGTTTTTTCAGAATAAATTTTAGAAAATCTATTCTAGATAATTTCAAAGATTCCCTTCAATTCTAAGAGTCTGCAAAAATTAAGGAAAAACATGGAAGCGTTATTTACTCATAAAAGTGAGAAGAATCTTCATTAATTCTTCTTATATGGGAATCCTAAGCATACTATGGCATCTTATTCAGGTTTTCCTATATACTGATTTCAAATTATGTCTCTTCAAATAAATTAAGCTTTTATTTAAAACTAATCACCATAATAAAGTAAGCCTAAGGCACAGATTATCAGCACAGTCCCAGATACCACTTGTATAAGTTAGACTGTATAAGCTTACTAGACCTTATCATTACTAAAGAGCTCAGCTCTCTAAGGAAGAAATAATTTCCTTATTAATTAATTTACCAAATAATATAATGTTTTTTACTAACTAATAATTTTATAACCTCTCTACATATCTCTTCCATTTGTAAAAGTTATTTTTCAACATCTAAATTGTACAGCTTGGGTTTCTATTTGCATCCTATTCATTGTAAATGTGGTATTGTGCAAGTTCTTGTGAGTATATGTATAAAACTTATTTTTATCAAACTTAAGTAAGACATATGCAAACACATATTGTCAAACTATGAAATTAATCCATATAGGAATATTTTAAGACTCAAGTTGGTTTCTTTGCAAAGAAAAATATTTCATTTTCCTGATCTTTTCAAAATACTAGCTTGAAAACCTGCTTAAATATAAGGAGACAATTTAAAAACATGTTCTACAATTTAAATAATATGTTAATTTTAATTTTAAATAATTTTAAAACATGTTCTGTGACTCAAAATGATATAAGATAGATTCAAATTAACCAAACAAATTTCTTCCCAATTCAGTAAATTAGCTAGGAAAGTTTAATAAAGCAAAGAATGGTTTTTTAGGAGGAATTCAGCTTATCAAAAAACAAACTGATCAAACTCATTGTCTTTTGTTGTAGTATACAATACAAAAACAGACATTTCTTTGTTCTCAACTATGATTATAGCAGTGCAATTCTCTCTTTCTGGATGTTTTATGAAATAAATGGTAATATAATTATTTAACAAATGAAGGGAATCTCATTATAAATGTCCTTGAGTTAGGTTCAGCTAAAGATTTTGAACACTGTGTCAGTTTTGTTCTTTTTAAAAATGTTGCTTTCTGTAAATAACTAGATGTCATGGAGGACATCTATATGAGAGGCTCAATATTTAGGCTCTAGATACTAGTTTGAGCAGCCCCACCAACTAAAGCAAAGTCTAAGTTCATGTGAACACTACAAAAGAGAAGCACAGATTTACCACACAGTCTAATACCAGCGGGAGAATGAGCTGAAAATCTTGAAGTCTACCCTTGTATATTGGTGCTGAAGGGGGTTCCCTGCATATGCATTTCAGCACATATCACAAAGGGAAATGCCCTGTGCTGATAGGGAGTCACCACATCACGTGAATGACTGATGCTCATCTCACCACCAACTCCTCTCAGAAGCTCCATTTCCCTTGAGCTACTTACTGGCAACCCCAGCTAAGGAGTATAACTGTGAGCACTGGAGGAATTATCTGGAAAGTTGGAGTGAAACTGGAAAGATAGCTATTCATTATCACTTTGTGTTACTGTTTATTGTGTTTCCACAATAATTATTTTGTCTTAAAGGATTAGACTCTAGTCTTGTTTCTTGGTTTTGTATATATATTGGTATATCTCAAATCAACAAACATGTTGGCTATGATAAAGAACACATTTTAATGATTGTGAAGTTATTGGTTGATTGGTTAGGACACAGGGAGAATTCCTAATATCAAAATAATGAATAATATGCACTACTTCAAACATCAAGCATATTGCAACCTCTATCACAATATCAAGAGGCATAGAAATGTCACCTTGTTGGATGAAATCATGCTCAGTAAGTACAGAAAGCATGTTACTAGTTACCTTAATTACTATGCAAATGTTAGATATATACATATTCTCCAATATTCTTCCTTAATTTCCATAAATTAATTTCAACCTAAATGTTTCTAAAATAGTTCTTATAAGATCTTATACAGGAAATATGTACAGATCTGTCTTTCTTGGGTATTGATACTCACATTTGCTATTAAAGGCAGAAGTGAACCGGTTTCAAGATACAAAGAGACTCCTTCAGGATTATTACAGGGCAATGGATTGCAAAATCCCATTAGAGGACAATAAGAAATTTACTCGAATCCCATTGGTTCAACTGGATAGTAAAGAACTTTCAGAAAACCAAATTAGGTAAGATAGATCTTCATGATATACTGTAACTGTTTTGAACATAAAACTTTGTGATTGAGTTACCATTAGTAATTAATTGCCACAACTAAAAATATTGCACTCTTTATCCTTCAAATCCAAAATGCTCTAATTCTCACTTCAGGCTATTAACATGCATTATTTATCCTGTTAATAGTGAATATTTACCTCTTTCACTGCATAATTATAGTGTAGTTACTATGGAGTGTCTCCACAGACATTGCAGGGGGTATTAGGAACATCTGAATTCTGAAACACTTTTGGCCCCCAAGGGTCTCTGGTAAAAGATTATAAATCTCTACTACTTTCATGAAAGGAGTCTAGCAGTGTGTGTGTGTGTGTGTGTGTGTGTGTAATTATGTAAGTGGAAATGAAATAGGTTGTGAGTTTTCTTTCACCCATGAGGGAAGTTGAAAAGCATTAAAGACTCAGTCATATGTGATTATAACCTCATTAGATGGAACAACCTATTCACTGTCTAACATTAGATTCCTCCATTAGAAAAGGAACTTGGTGGAGGATGGAAGAAAATTATATTTTCAGTCAAAAAAATCCTGTGAAATATGAAGTTTATAAATAATTATTTTTATACATCTAATAGGTAGGGACAGGGGAAGAGCAAGATCCCAAACTATGAACCAGTAGAAAAATGCCATCAAGAAATGGGGGTGGGAATAGTGGTAATTCCTCTGGGGTGGCTTCCAACCACAAAACACTAAGAGAACATTTAAACTTACTTTTGTAAGATTTAAAATAGTTAAAATTAGAAATCAAAGTCCTTAAGAAGTAAATGAGTTAACTAAAAATAAATTGATAAGATATAAGGAAAAGATAAAATAGTAAAATAAAAAAGGTTAAAATGACCAGTAAGTAGGGCCAAGAGAAAAAGGTGAAGAAAAAAAATAAGTATACATAAAGAGAGGAAAAAAGAAGTGAGATTTAAACATCCTATGCAGACACTGAATGAACTTAGGCAAGTCACTTGACTTTCTGAAACTCAGTTCCTCTTGGCAAAATACAAACATAATACCATTGCTATTATTGCTTATCCCTATCAGCTAATCAATATCTGCTAGTCTTTTTATGAATAGTCTTACTGTACTAATATTATTATTATTCAAATCTCCAAGGAGATGAGATATAGATTTTATATTTTAAATATTGTATGCTTGTTAAACATAAGCTTGCTGTGTAAATGAAAGCAATAGGAATTGCACAAACAGAATGGAGGTTAATGAAGATATTTTGAAGTAGGACAAATTTGGTTTGAGTCCTTGGTGGGTCAGTTACTAACCACATGTAAATAGATTATTTACTTGTCTGATCAAATTACTCGGACTCTTTCTAAGTACCAGGTTTCTAATCTGTAAAACAAGGCTTTTGTAAAGATTACAGAAAATAAAATCTACAAAGCATTTGGTACCGTATTTGGGACTCAGAGGACTTGTGATTTAGTTTCAATAACTCTCAATAAGTGGTGATTACTATTGTCATTGCATAATATACAGTGACCTCTTCTTGCTCATATGCACATTTTAATTATTACATGCTCTTGCTTTGTTTGTTTTGCCCCACACCTTGTTCCTAAAAGGATTTGAGGTGGCCTAAACATTTGAAGTAGGACTACGTAGTGACCGAAGATCCACCGATCTCTCAAAGCTTCTTTCATCTATTGCCATCATATCTCTGTCACGTCCATGTGCATACAAGAATACACAAGAGGGAAATTGTGTACCCCCTTCTTGATACAAGAGAAACATTCGGCAAGCTGCTGAAGGAAAACTTTGAAATTAAAAACAATAAAAAAAATTCAAAGGCAGTGTGAACCATCAGAGCCATAAAAAGAGTTCAACTTTCACAGTGTAAAGTGGCAGTGCATTCTGTTCTTAGCATAAAATAGCAAGTCATAGGGAAGCTGTTAATATTGGCTAGGAGAATAAAACTGCCAAAAGAACAGCCAGTTCTAATTTTCTGCAGAACAACTTTGCACCAATCTGATCCTAAAATCGGTGCTGTGGCTATCTGCTAGAACTATCAGTCAATCAGTATGTGAACCAACTATCAATTAACCACAGTCTCTGTAACATATGTAGAGACACAAACAGTGTTAAGCATTTTTACGGGGCTTTTCTATTTTATTCCTCCCAACAACCCTATAATAATAATAATAATCATCATCATCATCATAGTACAGTAAGACTATTCTAAAAAATACTAGCAGATATTGATTAACTGATAGGGATAAGCAATAATAGCAATGGCATTACGTTTGTGTTTTGCCAAGAGGAACCGAGTTTCAGAAAGTCAAGTGACTTGCCTTAGTTCATATCTGCTGATAGTGGCAGAGCTACATAGACCAGAATTTTTCCAGTAAATGAATTCAAGACCCCCATTTTTTTCTAAACCATATACCACCTCTGTTGTCCCATACAGGAAGGTCATAGGAAATACATGCTGCACTGCACTAAATATCTAGAGATGACCACATACTTTACCTTAACTTATTGGATACATGAATCTCTGTTGAACTGATGTGACTGATTCAGCATTATTTCATTATTAAGATATAATTTCATTTGTGGATAGATGAATAGTAGATCGTCAATGGATTGCCTCCATAAACATGGTAGACTATCAGAATCATGATGCCAAGTATAATATCTTTGTCTGATGTGTCAAAATAAGATTAAGCTAATTGTTTGCTAGAGTTGACCAGCATCTTTCTAAATCATTGTTCTGTTCTCCAGAAACTTGTCTACAAATCAAATACTGTTACTAGTATTGACCCTGATTCTCAAAGTTTCAACCGAGACATTCTTGGAGCCATTCTGTCCTCATTCTGTTCCCAAAACGCCTTTTACACGTTTTGTTCAGCAAAGAAGGATCACAATCACATCAAAAAAAGACCATTCTACCTGGTGGATCTCTCTCTGCTGCAATTAACCTTTGAGATCCTGGGATACTTCAGGGATAGCATATTCCCAGGGACACCTCTGAAATTTCCACATTGGGGCAACAATGTGGTAAAGAGAAAGGGAACTTAATTCTGTGCTTCCACAGCACTTGAAAAAACAGAGAGAAAAACTCGTCATCCATGCTCAAGAGCTGGGAGGGCTGCTGGAGCTTCAGCCTGCCCCTGCCACCACCTAAACCTTGCTGCCCCCATGTGACAGACCACTCAGACCTCACCTTCCTCATCCTCCTACTTAAATGATCATAATGCCAAATGAGCCAGTCATCTTAAAGAACCTGTGCACAGTTCCCTTTGATTTACCTTTTTCATGACTGATTTATCCCTCAAGAGAAGTGTATGCCCTGGACAAATTTCAGAATCACTATGCTTTAATCCTTCTCTTTCATAATTACTGAGAACTGAACCTGGTAATGATGTTTATGTTGTCATTTACTTTGAGTATGCTCCTATGAACAAGGCTTTCCAGACCAGAAAATTTAAATATGGTGATTTATCATCTTTTCCCCATTAAAAGAATTCTTTCCAGTAAGCTTTAAAAAATGGAGATTAGAGCAAGACAACAAAATTTACAACACAACATGAATGAAAATAGAATTCTGCTAACAAAGTCTTCATATTTCTTTTGTTGTTGTTGAGCGTACAGATTTTATTTATGCAAAATCTTTACATTTCCTGTGTGTTTGCTTTCCAAAGAATCCCTCTCATTCCTCGAATATCCATTTCCCCGGAAACGGTTGTGCCCAAACCAAAAATAAAAGCAATACTGAAGGAGCAGATGGATGACTCACTCGAAAATGTGGAGTCAAACTTGGAGACGGATGAGAAATTGGTGATGGACACCTGGCAGCAGGCTTCTGTAGCAATATCTCACATGGTAAGCAGTGCACACTAGAACATTTCCTTCCAGAAATATCCATTCACTACAAGCCACAATTGGGAATGTGCTACAAGTCGAAGGATGTTACATGATGTTCTCAAGCATCATATAAATTTATGCCTTGCAGGAGTTTTGTTTCTTTGATTTTCTGAAAGAAATAGGAAGTGAAACAAGTCGGTCAATAGATATTTGAGATCATGAAAGAAGCGAAAAATGTGAGATTATTTTCTGTGGTGGGCCGAGGTTCCAAGTTCAGGGGCCTGAAGGGCTAGTCAGAGAAAGTTAATGAGGCCAGCCTGTCAAGTATAAGATAATGGACTGGGGCCACTAGGAATCACACCCTTGTCTACAGGGCCATGTGCTACCCTGCTCTGACCCATTTTGCCATTTAAGAATGAGACCTCAGCATGGCCAGATTTTCCATTTTTCCAAGAAAAGCCAGAAAGTCTGATTTTTATGTGAAACTGATTTTAGCAGTAAGAAATGAGATCAAATTCTCAAAAATACTTGATGGAACCAAGTAAAACACACAGTCATCCCATAGGCTTCCAGTATTCAATCTCTCTGCAAGGCACTTGTCCTAAGCCACCTGGGGTAAGTATTATTGTCCTATTTACAGTGGAGGGCTAAGGTTCAGAAAGGTTGAGAAACCTGCCCAAGATCTCCCAGCAGGTAAGTATCAAAATGAAATTTGAACCTAAATCTATATGACATCAAGGTTCATATCCTTCCAACCCAAAGCAGAAGGGAAAGAAAAAGCGGAGATAAGTTTACCCCAAGCAGAGGCATCCCACCATGCAGAAGGCACACACAGGGTTCAACTCTGAGGACTCCTGTTCCCTAATCTGCCCAGTCCTGGGTCCACCCGCATGACATCTATTTTCCTTCTGTGTCAAGCCTTCCTAAACTTTCCCTGAAATGCCTCATTCAAACAGAAAACAGTGTCAGCTTTCCCAAATGTTTTGTGAAAGATGTGGAAGGGGAGCGTGCATCATCAATCTCACAGCGAACAATTTAAATGTCTGATTGCATGTGTCCTGAGGTCCTCCTTGTCCCCTGCCCTCAGGCTTCTTCTGACCTTCTCACACAGCAGCCTCGGGGTCTTTCTTTCTGCTTTTCTTTCTCCTCTTCTCTTCACTCCTTTATCTCTCTCTCAAAACTGGTTGCCAACTCCTTTCATTGGCTTGCTTCTTTATAAAAACTTTTCAGTGTGAACTCTGACACACAGGGACATGCATGGAGTATAGTAGTTAGCCTCAGGGACTTACCTGGAGTAAAGAGACACGGAACCAATACACGGGGGGAGACAGAACAAGATCTGTACCTGCCAGGTGATTTACGAGCTGCTTCCTGACCCTTACCCCCCTCTATCTCCACCAACAGGAGCCACCATCTTGCCTTTTTAGACATCATTTCCTTGATTTAATTAAGAGTTTTATTACCTAAGTCTATATCTCTAAACAACTTAGTATATCTTAGCCAACCTTGAGTTTTAAATAAATGGATTCTTATCTTTTGTCTTTTCTTTTGTGAAACATTATTGGTGAGATTTATCCCATGTTTGTTCAGTATAGCTATAATTGTTCATTTTGTTGCTGCATAGTATTCCATTCTATGAATACATCACTGTTTATTTAACCAGGATGCATTTGATACATTTTGAATTTCCAATTTGATGCCATTATGGGCATGGCTTTTGTATATATCATATGGTATCTATGTGCAATCCTAACTGTTCCGTGTACATCTAATAATAGTATGTGTCATCTTTTACATCAGCAGGCATATCACTTCAGCTTTCAAAGGAAGATACATAGATATATGTTTACACACACTATCATTTAATACACCTGTATATTTCCTTGCTAATATGTAAAATTTTTATAATTTATATTACTTACAATTTATTATATATTTTTATTTCAAAATGTATATACATACTAAATAGTATATATATTATTTAAAACTTCTTTATCCTCATAAAATTTGTTTTCTCCTTTGAATTATGCAGAGAGTTATGATAAAGACACTCATTATGAGAGTGAACTTAATCTTTTCTATCTGTAGTTTTGTCAATTTTTGACTTATATATATTTGAAAAGATGAAACCAGATATATACAAATTTTAAATTGCCGAATCTTTCTGGTAGATTGTGTTTTCTTACTACAACATCATCTTTACCTGTAATACATTTTGTAAATTGCAATTTGAGATGTTGTTTGCATATCTGATCCTTTCCTATGCTTTTGTTTTTAACCTTTCCATGTCTTCTTGCTTGCTTTTCTCCCTTCTACAGGTTTGAAAGCAATACACTCTATTACTACCCTCTTGGTGGTTTCACTAGGGCATAGCAATATGGTAGATTTATATCCCAAATATATCTACAAAACAGAGGAAACTGATGGTCATTTTTTTTTCTTTTTATTGGTTCTTTTAGTTATATATAACATTAGGATTCATTTTGACACAATTGTAAAAGCATGTAATATTATTTGTTCTAATTCAGTCCCCAGTACTTCCCCCTTTTCCTCCCCTCCTCCCTCCCCTTGCTCCCTTCTTTCTATTCTACTGATGTTTTTCTGCTATTTGCTTATAGTTTTTTTTTAGTTAGTGTCTTGTGAACATACATGATGGTGAGATTCACTGAGAAATAGACTTTTTTATAATAAAAAAAGCATATGATGCTTATAAGGTTATATTGACCCAAAAGGAGAGAAAGACATGGTGTGATTTTTTCCAGGAGGCACCATAGAACCCCAAACCCTTGCCCTAGGGACCCAGACTCAGCCCTCCTTATCCTGGTAATTACCAACCCATTTGCCCTCCCACAAGCTGACTGGATGGTGCTTGCTATATTTCAACACCATGGCTAGTGCCATTTTTCCTTCCTAAAATAGGCCCCTCCTCCTTCTATTTGCTTAACTCTTGTATTTCTTTTTAATCATCAGTATGACTTTCTACCTTGATTTCTGTCCACTTTGTTGCCTGTCTCCTGAAGCCACAGTCTTGTATGATCTTAAGCTCTTCCTATCCTTGAACAGTTATTGTCTTTGCTACTCATTTGGCTCCAAGTAGCCAGGCTATTGTTTGTGATTTTTATGAGTTGTTTTCCTGAATGCTTAACTAAATTCTAAAACCATGCCATAACCTAGAATAATGCCCACATCTAACCTTATACTGGACCCTCCATACTGACTTGAGATGCTGTGGCTGCTGTATTCACAGAGTAATGTAAATACTAATGATGGTGAGATGACAATGTTCACCACAAAGACCCCATAAGCAACAAGCTCCAGAGTGGAAAACCAGATATAGGAACTCTAGAAAACAATGTGAATTACTCTTATTGTTAATTGAGCTCATGAACATAATCTAAAAGTCTTGTGGATCCCATTAAAATTACTGAATAAATGATATTTTAAAATATATATTTTGATAAAGAAAGGATCATATAGCAGCAAGAGCGCTGGCTACTATCCCTTGACTAGCCTGCATGATTTTAGGAAAGTCTCTGAACTTCTCTAAGTCTTCAATTCCTTTGAAATATAAAATATATTCTCAACTGGTTGAAAAGATCCAGTGAAATAATGTACATAAATATGTTTTAAAATTTATAAATATAATTTCTTATTGTATTAGAAATGTTATTTAAAATTGTTCCATTTTTCTTTTGAACCTTTCAACACCTCATAGGAAGCATAGGATAAAAAGAACCGTTTAGCAGTTAATAATACTAATGATTATATATGGATCCAGTTTTTACATGTTTCAATAGACTTTATGACTTCGATGTCACATGGTCAAAGACAGACAAAAAACAAAAGGAGTTCATGGTTTTAGCAAGCACCCAGAACACTGGGTGCTTAAACTTCTCCTTGGTTGAAAACAACCATTTAAGGGAACTCTGAGTTCCAAATAAGACAGGTATGATTCAGCAAATTGATTCAAGGAAAACAGCACCAGCTGAGATTAGTGCAATTGAAATGAGAGCACCTCAATGCAGATTTTTCCACCCAATAGTTTTACCCAGAGCTATCCATTTAGTATGCAATGTTAATTTTTGGCAAAACTTTTTTCTAATTAGTAGGTATGCAGTGATTTCAAAGAAGTCATATTTAACACCCACAATGTCAAGGCATTATGTTTCAAGTTCTCTCCAGCCTTACAAGTTAGATTGCTGCTGAGAATATTGTAAATTATGTTAATTTTTGAAAGAGACCTAGAGGTCTTTGAGGAAAGTGGACCAGAAAAATGCATATTATGGTAATCATCATCATCTTCATCATCCTCATCATCATCTCCAGGTTGTTTACCAAGGAGATAAATCCAATTTTAAAGAAAATTGCTAACTTACTGTGCTTTGCAAGAACAGACTCAAAATTGAATTGCTTGCAATTTAGTGGGGAATGTTAACAAGCCTTTTTTCAGCTTTACCAAGAACTTCAAAGTATGGTATATAACATGAAATCCATTTTTATCAAAAGGGCAATTGTGGGAAATAAAACCTAAAAACAAAAACTGGCTTGTTCTCTGAAACCTTTTTGGATCCCTCCAAGGTGCTATTGACATTGAAGAAGCTCTGGGTTCATTCTGTGCACTATGATTATTTTAAAAGTCAAGCTATCATTCATAAACACTTACTGGGCATGCCCTGTGAACATAACACAGGTGTCCAAAGCTGTGGGGACACGAAAAGGACTGGGGCTTAGCTCTGGGGAGCTTGCAAACCCATTTGGAGGGTGGGGTGAAACTTAACACTCATGGGACAATTGGGGACAGTCACATACTAAGTCATGGGGTATGAAGTGGCCAAAATTGGAAGAGGCAGTAACTGACTGTGTGTCTCACCCACAAGACTGCAAGGGCCTTTGTGGTAGACAGTGCCTTATTCGCCTTCTGTTGTCTCCATCCATGTTCCTCTCTCCCTCATTTCCCTCCCCCATTCTCTTCAGAAGTAATATCAGGCTTGGACACAGCAAGTGCTCAAATCAATAAACAAACCCTCATTGACCCCCAGTTCCTCACTAGTTCTTTTATTGAAATTTTAAAGTTTTAAACTGTGTGTTGCTACTGCCTCCAAAGTTCATGTGTGTTTTCTTTCTTCTTTGGGATTCTTTTCTCAGCTCTCATAAATATCCTTTACTTCACTAGAAGCAGCTGGACTTAGTTCAAAAGGTTCAGTATTTCTAACTGCTGGAATGACCCTGGTGACACAAGTTGTGAGATAAGGGTTTTACACACACACACACACACACACACACGCACGCACACACATATTATGTGTTTATGTGCATATGTTTTTAAATGTTCATTTACGAATTGTAATTGTATATATTCATGGCATACACTGAAATGTTTTGATATTTGCATATGTTCTGGAACAATTAAATCATGCTAGTGACAGATCCATCACCTCACTTGTCATTTTTTGATGAGAACACTTAAAAAATCTACTCTTCTGTCAATTTTGAAAGATACAATATATCATTAACTGTCGTCACCAAGCCATGCAGTAGATTTCCAGAACATACTCCTTCCATTTAATTGAAGCTTTTCACCCTTTGACCAACATCTCTCCTCTCCCTATTCTATCCATCCACCCAGCTCTGCCCCTGAAAACCCCCATTCTACTCTCCATTTCTGTGAGTTCAACTTTCTAAGATCATACATAGATGCGAGTTCATACAGTATTTGTTTTTCTGTGCCTGGATTTTTGCATTTAGCAAAATGTCCTTTAAGTTCATCCATGCAATCCTGAGACAAGGTTTCCTGTAGCTCAGCCCCAGAAGAGAAGTGGAGGGATCCCTGCAGGGTCTGATCCTCCTGAATGGGGAAGGGAAGATATGACACACAACCCTTCTCTCTAATCAGGACACTTGTAAGAGTGAAAAGAGAGGTGTGCTGCAATGGAGAGGAGCTGAGTCAGTTAAGTACAAGAAGCTAGGAATTGTGAGGTTAGCCTGTGAGAGGGGTCATCCTCATTAGCACTGATTCTTCCAGGATGGTGTTAGAGTGGAAGGCCAAGATTCAAGTATCCACAAGCCAATTTGTGTAGGGCATGCATTCTCCAACAATACTTGGAGAGCATGAAAAAAGATGCATTTTATATGTATGGTTCAGATATATACACATTACATAAACAAATAAACTTTGGCAATATTAAAATTTCTCAGAAGAGAATTAAATTAAAAGAAAACATCAGCCAATCTCCATAGGATCTAATTGTGAAAAAATAGATAAGAAACACAGAAAAAGTGAAATGCCTTCATTGGAGGCCAAGAGAATAACAGGAACTTGGAGGAATAGCAGGGGTTAAAGTTTTAGAATCTGGGATTTTTTTTAAATGAATTTTTACAAAATATAGAATTGTCCCAGTCTGGAGGTGGCAATGGGGACACATAGGGATGCTCTGTAGACAGGGTTGAGAAATCAAGAGGCTACTTTCAGATGGCTGAAGTGGAACAGTATCTTGGGACAGGGCCAGAAAATCCTGGAAGTGTGTGTTTTGTAAAGATTGATTACACGGTGACAGTGGATTGAGGCTTCAAAGAAATCTAGATGACTAAATCCAAATGGTTTTCATGTTCCCATTAATGTTGCACTAACAGAAGTGTTGCTCTTACACAACTAGGTGGTGGCTGACATTCATCAGCAGCTCATGGAAGAGGAAAAAGAAAACCAGCCAGCAGATGCAAAAGAAAAGTCTCCTCCAATGGGTACAAATAAAAAAGCCAAAAAGGAAAAGGAGCCACCAAAGAAAAAAAAGGCAGAGAAAAAAGCAAAAGGTACTCATGGTTTTAGCACTCAGAACCCTGCATCCTTCTACCTCTCCTTGACACGTAAGGGTTTCCCACTTAACTTATTGGTCCAAATAGCTGGATGAATCCAGGGTGAAATAAATCTCACAGGCAATTGTAAATGTATTAAAAGAACTTCCAAGATGGTACCACATCATCTGGGAAATGCTTGCAAAAAGATTGTTTGCTCCAGCAACACCAGAAGTTTAAAAGCTCTGTGTCTGTAAGTTTCAGGGACATTTGAATTTAAGTGAGTCCTTTTCTCCTGGAGCCCTCTTGTCTAAATTTTTGCTTCAGAGACATGAAGGGAACATAAGAGAACTCAGGCTGGGAGAGACCTTCACTTAACCCTAGCTCGGGATATCTCTAGCACAAACCTTTCCCTCCCCCTCTGGATATTTCTACTTGCACACTTTTAGATTTATTTAGTAATAGTGGCATTCATTTTCACATAAATAGACATACATGAAATATAATTTGCTCCACTTCAGTCCCTAGTGCTTCCTTTTTCCTTCCCCTGCTACTCCCCCTGGTCCTTTCCTCTATTTTACAGGTCTTGTTTCTATTTATTTATTATTGTTTTAAATCAGCGCTTTATAGATAGACACAAAGGTGGAATTCACTGTGGCATATTCATATTCACCCTCCTCAGTTCCTTCCTTTTCCCATCCCTCCTCACACCCCCTAAGTCCCCTTCCTGTACTGTGCCATCTCCTCTCTTATACATTTTTGAGGTAACTTGAAGCAAGAAAAGGAAAGTGGGAAGCTCATAAGGAAAGTCACTCCACTCATCCTTACCATGATATTTTTATTAGGCACCTGCTGTGTAAAACACTCTATTATGGGTGCCAAGGACACAGTAGTGAATTAAAAATCAAGAACCATTAAAGCCATAGTCTCTATCCTGAAAGAACTGTGGTCTAACAGCAGGGACAGATGTTTGGCCAGTTGTTGCTTTTTGATAGGGGAGATAGAGGCACCTTGAGGAGAAGGCCAACCCATTGCATTGGAGTGGACAGGGGAACACTTCCCAGGTGGAGTACATTTAAGTTAAGCACTGAGGATGGAGGAGGGGGTGGTTAGTGGCACTTGAAGCAAAGAGAAGAATGGCATCTTAAAGAAGAAGTCACCACTTTAGTTCATCCTCAAACGGGTTAAAAAAATGATGCACCATTCAAAGGAGGAAATGCTTCTGTTTCCTTTAATGGAACTAGTGGTTGAGTCCAATTCCTTCATTAAATGTTTATGTAATAAGTGACATTTATGGTGGGGCGCCATGGTGTATGCCTATAAACCCAGCTGCTCAGGAGGCGAGGCAGAAGATCGTGATTTCAAAGTCCACCTCAGCAACTTAGTGAGGCCCTCAGCAACTTCATGAGATTCTGCTTCAAAATAAACCAAAAAAGGCTAGAGATATGGCTCGGTGGTTAAGGACCCTTGGGCTCAAGCGTTTGTGCCAATAAATAAGGCATGTGTGCCTTCTCTAGAGTCCAACCCTTTCACCAGACCCTCGAAAGGTTTGCTGAACTGAGTAGAATGGCATAAACTGGGTCTGCAATGGAACTGCACTGTCCTCTCCCATGGCAAATGCTGGCAAATTCTATTTTCCAGTTCTCCTATGAAATCATCAAAGTACTTGTAGTTAAGTGCTAATTAAAAGATAATTAATTAGGTTCCAGATTTTTGACAGTCATCTGCATTTTAGCCACATCTTCTTGAGGTTATTTGTTGGTCTTTTCTTGCAAATACTCTGCTAGTATAGGCAAACCCTTGTGGAATGGAATTTCTCCAGGTGACTAATGTCATCTGTTGTAATATTGTTGGGTTTTGATCTTTTCTGTCCCCAAATTCTGAATTCCACCATCTTTGGATTCTGTAATCATCTCTACACTTGCTGCACATCTTGATTTTTATGATGCTCCACAAATGGGTGTTAAATTTTTGAGTCCAGCCAAGAAACCACATGAAGAATTTTCAAGGAAGGACTATCAGTATTTCATCTTTCACAATGGGAAGACCAAAGTTCTCTGTCTCTTAATCACTAGAGGTTTGTAACTGCACAGATTTTGCTTTGGACTCATTTTGCCCAGGTACCCTGTGCATGCACTCATACGTTGGTAGTTTACTCAGCATGTTTCATCACCCCTTCAGGTAAATCACCACCTGTATCTGAACCACCTCCTGTAATTATGACAGCAGAGGAAATTGCTGAAATGGAAAAGAAGAATGAACTAAAGTTCAAAATAAAGGAAGAATATCTTGCTGCTCTACAATTCGAAGGTAGAGATGGGAAACAGCTAAGATAATGCTTTTCAGTAGAAAGTAGATTAGTGACCAATAGCCCCCAGCCAGCTCATCAAAAGGACAGTGTTCCCTTGGTTGTTTTCATTTGATCACAGAGGACCAGATTTGATGTAGAAAGGAGACAAAAAGAATCCTGAAAGGGGTTAGAAGAGCAAGGCAGCCATTTAAAAAAGAATAGAAAGAAACAAACAAATGAAAAAGAAAACCTGTGACAGTTGTTGGTATGATTTCACTGGATTAGGTGGGAGCTAACCAGAGTAAGTGGGTTTTACATTATAATAATTTAGTAAGTACTGACCAAAGGATAATAGGCCTTAAAAGGGAGTTTCTGGAAGCAAAGACCATAGAAGGGCCTGTCATGCATCTCCAATGTTCCAGGGCCTTCTGCCCTGAAGAGGTATTAGGAGAGTCAGCACCCGCACATCTCCCCCATGGTCTGTCTCCACACCTGAGTCCCCTGTTTTCCAGTGTGTTTCAATCTTCAGTTCCTTCAATGCATGACCCTCATTGTGACAAAATTCATTCATTCACATAGTAAAAGCTTATTGAATTCTCACCATATGCCAAGCCCTTGCTGAAGATACATACATATATATACAAGCAGAAAACAAACAAAAAATAAAGCTCATCTAGGAAAAAAGGATCATTAACAGCATGTTGTAATATTGCAGATACAGAATAACAGGGCAGGGGGTGTCAAGCTAATGTGTGAGCTGAACTGCAATTATATGGAGAAGCTTGCCCAGGGGACAAATTAGGGTGGGAATGAAGAGAAAAGTACACCAAGGCCGAGAAAGGATAGGGAGCCTAGTTAGTGACCTATGGTATATAGGGGCATATTCTGGGAAGGAATGACTTGGAAAATGGGAGACCAGACCACAGAGGGTCAAATAGGCCCTGCCAAAAAAGTCAGATTTTCCCTACAACAACTCAGAATTAATGAAAAGTTACAGGCAGAAAAGTGAAGATGATCACATCTTTTGACAAAACGCATGACTCAGAGGACTCTGGATGGTCTGGAGATGGACTTGGAGTTGAGGTAGGGAAAAGAAGTTAGAAAAAGCAAAGTCGACGCTATTATAAGAGTTTAAATGAGAGATAATAAGCACGCAGACTAGGCCAGAGACAATGGAAAACTAAAAAAGAAAGACTAAAAAGATAATTTAAAGGTAAAATCCTCAGATTTTATAATGTACCAAAAAAGCAATAAGCCCATAATTTTTTCCTGGTTTTAGCAATGATGAGAAATGTGATGACCTTGCCACCCCAAGCTTCCAAACTAGGGAGAGAATAAGCAAAAGACTTTGAAATTCAGAAATTGTCTGTGTGTTTCTTCCCATTCCACTTATCAAAGAGTGTATTGCCATCAAGTGCAATAAGTATATAGCTCAGGTAGAGTTTTGGTTTAGATAATTTCTCTAATGACTTTGCCACAGGTTACACTTTGCTTCTTAATGAGATGAGACATTACCTTATCTACACTGGTACATTAAAAGTACACCAACAGCTTCACAAACTGAAGCATGACTGGCTTAAAAGTAAATTGGGTTCATCACAAAGTTCAGGTACATATAATACATGAAAAAACAATCTTGATTTCTCTTTTTAAATAGAGACAGCTACACAGTTTCGACTTGAACTGATCAAGACAAAAGCACTGACTGTCCTTGAAGATTTAGTAACAAAGGCAGTCAATGTCTATAAACTCATGGAAAAATGGCTTGGTGAGAAGTATTTGAATGAAATGGCCAGGTAAAGTACTGCATGACTTTTAAAAAATACATTTCATTAATTCCTGTGCGCCAAAATTGACAAGGATTTTTAATGTGTTTACAAATTTAAATAGTTTACAAATTAAAATGGTCATTTTAGCCATTAGGACATCAAGTGTATAAACAAGTGAGCTTTACTTCGTGTTTGTATTGCTCCTTTCCCAACAGTAAATCATGTTTCGAAAGGTTTCATTGCAGTATCCAGTTTTGCATGTTATTTATGAATTCAGTTGTCTCACTGTTCTGTGGGAACATTAGTTTACAAAGTGACATATCTTTGCAAAGTGAGATAAGGCTTCACATCTTCTTTCTAGGACCATTTTTACCATCAGTGAGAGTCAAATAATGAAAAATTAAGAAGTCATTCACTGGAATGTTTTACTTAGTTAGTCTGATTCCCTGGTATGGGTAATACTTAAAGATGATCTTCCATTGAGTTCCAAGGGCTTCCCAAATACTCCCTGCTAGTAAGAATCAGTGAGTCTCATCCTCTTACCTCTCCCCTAGAGGTATAAAGAGGCAGCTCAGCAGAGTGAAAACACCCTTATCTGAGGGCCAGGAGGCTCCCTCCTCCAAAACCAGGAGTCCCACATTATCCAAAATTAATAGCATGCCTGATTTAGGCCTCAACAGCTTTATCTATGAAAGGAAACACTCCAACCAGGCTATTTCAGAGCTTTCTATTTTATCTAGATTCCATAATGCATTACAGTTTCCAATCAACATTTACTGAAAATTTAGAGGCTACCACCTAAATAGCGTTCCTTTGGCAAGTATTCTGAGAAGCAGAAATTACCCTCTAAAACAGCAGTTTTTAGGGTTTGTTTTCTCAGTCCTTTTCTCATAATGAAAGTTCTACTGTAAAATTTTCAGCCTAGTTTTTAGAACTGTTGCACCAGAGTAAAATAAATATGCTTTTGAAAAGTGGCTCACAAACTCAGTCTGGTAACTCACTGCAGTAATGCTTAACATAGTCTCACAGCAGACAGCCAAGCCAGTTCCTGTGAACCTCACAGAGCAGGAGCCCTTATCTCTGCTCTCTGCCTTCCATTTGCAAATGAAAACACATCTTCTTCATTTTTAGGATTCCTGGTTCCCATCCACGTTGCCATCCAGTGAATGGATATTATCCAGTGTACTCAAAGTTCTCAGATTTACATTGTATATACCTGCCCTCTGAATCTATAGATGCTATTATGTATTGTGACCACATATGGAAACTAAAAACCTAGGAATGCGATGAGAGAGAGAGAGAGAGAGAGAGAGAGAGAGAGAGAGAGAGAGAGAGAGATCAAATCCCTTTGAACTTCAAATCCTGTTTCTTATTTTCCTGGTATCTGTTCTCTTCCATTCTTGAGGTTACGCTTGGTGACCCCCAGTTTCCACTAGGTGGCGCACACCTGTTTGATTTCCTGGTTCTGTTTGGGTCTCAATCTACATTCCCAGGCTCTTCACTTATGTAAATAGCTACCAGTTTCCTTCTCTGTCCCCCAGCACAGAAACACCACAAAGCATAAAGTAATTAGCTAACACATGCTACGTGAACACTCAAAAAGTCAGCTTTCTGTAGTTGAGTTCAAGGGCATTTTTTTTTTTATTGAGAATTTCATTTTTATTGGTTTAAAATGTTATTCATAACTCTTCTATTAGTGTTTTTCCTAAATAACTTAATATTCTTGTTTAACTTAGAAAAGCCTACTTTACATCTCTATTTAATTCATAACATCTGTATGTTTTAAACAGATTTAATTTGCTTTCTAATAAAGTATACAGCATTAGATACACATTTATGTTGAAGGAATTCCTACAAATTTTCATTCTTCTGAAAATTGTATCTTTTGTTTTTGAAGTATAGTTTTAATGAACAATAATTTCTTATCAGAAGTTTGACAATATTAAATTATTTTTTCTTATCCAAGACACTGTTTAGAACCCAAGTGCTCAATTACAATCTGTCTTTATTTGCATTTTCTGACATTGCATTTAGTTATTTCCTTCATGAACAGCCTCAAAGTTAGGAGTGAAATAATATCCAAATAAGCATCCAATAAGTAGCATAATGAAGAAAACATAATGTGAACTCAAAGTATGAGTTGGGAAATAAATAAAATAAACACTCTAAAACATATTTGAATACGTGAGTGTTCATAAAATTATAGAGAAGAAAATTATGCTATTGGAAATTTTCAAATTCAGTGAGATTAGACTATATTAGAAAAAGTTGATGAGAAAATTACTAAAGATAAAAAAGACCCATAAATTACACATTAAGAAGTAAGTAATTGGAAAGAACACAACTGTGCTAAAGAAGTTAAACTTAATAGCTGAGAATTTTCTAGAACTAGACTAGACAGTTTAGAATCCACAGATTTTAGAAATGTGATAAATTCCAAGAGGAACAAATAAAGTAAATTAAAAGAGACATAAATTTAGTTGACACTTCAAGGACATTTTTGAAAGACAGCAACTAATATGATTTAAATTTTCAGTGTATGAGTACTTTGGTGCTCCTTATTACATAAAAGCAGATTGAATATACTTTTTCTTGTAATGTTCACCTATTTGTTCTAAGAAGTAAAACAAGAGCCTTTCTTCAATACAGTGGTATTTTATTTGTTTGCATATACAACTGTCCCAGTATAGTTGAAATCCATGACCTATGTGTTCTCACATGAGTTACCAAAAGGGAGGGAGTGACCTGGCTTTATCGCAAAAATAAGGAATTCAGAAAGCCTAGGTGACTTACTGTGGGACCCATGGCTAGAGTGTGTTCTGGATGAGTGCTCTCAACCCCAGTGTTCTTCCTACTGCCCCTTCGTGGTCACTAGCTGTTGCTAGTGGACACCCAATCTAGCTAGGAATCGTCCACTCTTCAAGAAGACAGCAACACAGTTGCAATGGATTTTATGCATAAGAGTGCTATTCTGGTAATTATGTCTTAGAAAACATCATACTCCTTGAAATAAAGTTAGAGAACAGTCATTATTCCAGAAATATATTTTCAAATTTGATTCACTTTAACATTTATCCTGACTCCAAATAAACTAATTACTCTAATAGTCATATTTTATATCTGCCATATCATCTTATTCTGGTTCATACTTAGAATGAAAGCTAACTTTTTAATACAATCATTCACATAGTAAAATGTATTCAATACTAATAAAACCATATCTAATGAATTCTCTTTTGTTCATCTTTATACAAAATGGATAGCCATTGGTTGTGCAATAAGCATATATTTTGTTTTTAATCTTCATGTATTTATACTCTAACTTCTTACAAAATAGACTTGAGGAAAATTTAAATTTTAAAATATACAGATTAAATCATCTAACTTAACTAAATAATGGGTTCATCTTTGTGTGTAGTCTTATAAGTAAACACTGTTAATCTGAAGTATGTTTAGTGGAGATAACTCTACTCATTTTACTGCTTTCAGTGTGGAAAAATTAACTGAAGTAGCTCGCTATCACATTGAAACAACTACAAAAATTCAGTATGAGCTTTATTTACACCAAGAAGACTTCTTCATTAACGGTGACATAAAAGTCTTCCCAGATCCTCCTCCACCAGTACGTCCCCCGCCTGTAGAAAAGGAAGAAAATGGCACTCTGACTATCGAACAGCTTGACAATCTTCGAGAACAGTTCTTCGATATGGCACCAAAAGGTAGGGTAACTATCATGACAAGAACACCAAATAAGGTTAAGATTACCCAGGATGGCCATCACTTGTCTTCAAGTGAAATCAGCTCTGTTGGATGGCAGGACTCTAGGATAAGCCCTGGCTTTGTTCTAGTTTATTAGATGTTTGTTTTGAATAATGTTGATCTGAATTAAGCACACAGGAGACTCACAATCATTGAACGTTGTGGCACTCCTCATTCCTAGTAATTCTTCTCTCCTGTCCTCCCCCTCCCTTCCTAACGGTCAGTAAATTTGACTGTTGCTCCATCTGACATTTGGAAGATAGCCTATGTGCACACTTGTAGTTTAGTTTTGGCATTGGGACTATGAGTTTGTGCTTCATCTACTCTGCGAAGGAAACCTCCCTCAATGCTTCATAGACTGCAAGTAGAACCAAATAAGTATTAACAAATTTGTCTAATTAATGAATTTGTTCACATGTATCTGTACATGTTATTTTCTGCACACAAATTCTTTAATTCCTTCACATTTTAGCATTATGACTCTATAGCTTCTGCCCAGGCTTTTTCAAGTCAGCCTTTTCCTACTTCTAGATATTCTTCAAAGAGTCCCATCGGTCAATAGCACATGTAATTCTGACCCATCATGTAGGATTATCATGTCCACATTTTAGGATTAAACACAGTCACAGAGCAGTTGAACAATTTGCCTGTGGTCATTTATCATTTGGAACCCTGCAGATTCAAAGTTCTTGCTCTTTCTCCTTGAACTAAGTTGCCTTGCATAAACAGGTTGACTTTATCTTCCAATATCTCCTGTTTATTGGGAAATTATCGCTTTTCCCCAGGGAGGAGTTAATGGACTTTAGAATTAACATGTTGACTCCACTTTTTAAAACTCCCATAATTCTAGAAATCCACACCAAATACATTGGTAGAAAGAACATTGGTTCAAGTCTGCAGGCTTCCTTGCCAAATTCATCCCAGGGTCTGTGTGAGGCCATGGACTGATTTTTGTCAGCACATGAAATGGGCTTCAGCAGACTTTATGTCTCCAAGATAGAAAAACACTCATATCCACTGTGATGGACTCTGACTCGGGTTGGCAGCATCTGGGCATGAAGCAAGTGTGGTTGTCAGCAGGTATCAAAAAAAAAAATCCTGGCTTGGAAAGCTGGGCCATGAAATCTCCTCAGTCCCCAGTCAGGCAGAGCCCAGCCTCTTCTGGGCTGTGTGAACTTCACAGTGCCCTTTCCTTATAGGTTTTCTTTTTGAAGTGGCTGTTGCTCTTCATTTTCTCCATGCTACTTTTTACATACAAAATAAAAGGATACATGCAAAAAAGATTGTAAAACACAAAATATGATTTGATTTAATCTGACAATATGGTGACTAGGAAGAAAACATCTAGTGGAGAGGTAAAAACTAAAAGCTCTTGGGTATATCTGATGGAAATGAATGTTGAAAATCATCAGCCACTGATAATTCCTTTGGAAAGGACTCTAGTACTCATGATTATCATCATAATGCACTCTGGGATCCACCCTCAAAATCAGAGCTTGCATTTCAGATAAAAGTTTAAAAGTAAATAACAAGTAATAACTCTAACTTGGCACATGAATTTCTTAGAAGGTGAGTTCTAGAAAACTTCAGAATAAAAAAAATGTCAATAGATAACATTTTTTTCTGTTTGCATAGTATGATAGGACAGTTTCCAGACTATGAAAGAAATAGGAAGAAAGAAGAAAAAAGAAAGTGGGAGAGAAACAGGGAACAAAATAGTTATAATGATGAAAAGAAAACCATATGCCCATGGAGCTTAGAGTATGATTTGGAAAGTCAGACAAAGAAGAAGAAAACACAAATAAGTTGGGTTCTTTCTGGGACAGAATATGAACTTTGTAAAAGTGCTTGAGAATACAAAGCAAAGGGGAGTCAGTATGCAGTGGGTGAAGGTGGTCAAGGAAAACCAGGTGGAGCAATGTGTTGGAGGGAGAATGGAAGGGAGTCATGAGTGATTTGACTAAAAGTGGTGGCACCCACCTGAAATCCCAGAGACTCAGGAGCTGAGGCAGGAGGAGCACAAGTTCATGGCCAGCCTGGGCAACTTAGTGAGCCCCTAAGCAACTTAAGAAGACCCTGTCTCAAAAGAAAATAAAAAGGGCTGGAGAAGCAGCTCAGTGGTAAAGCACCCGGGGCTCATTCCCAGTACTGGGGGAAAAAGTGATTTGGTAACAAGGATGTAGAGGATATTTAAATTTATTGGAATTGGCTGCTAGAAAACATGGTGTAGCTATGAAGCCTGAGTGTAGGAGGACATTAGGGGAATACTCAGGAGGCTGCTCTCCTTGCTTCCTTCCCCAGATGCATGAACTACAGGCAAGTCCCCCCAACCCGTTCAGGCTGGGAACTAACCCAATTGTCAGGATAACAGTCATCATTAAAAATGAATTTACAAAGCTGTAAAATGCTGTGGGATTTGGGGATTTTGATGACTCACTGTGAGCCATAGTCTGTGAGCAAACAGTTTAAATGTTTTTGCTGTATGAGTTCCTTCATTCCATCTGGAAAACATCATATGTTGCTTTTTAGTTATATGTAAAATTATTACTATGCTGTTGGGTATTTTATCAGAAGTATTGTTCATTGCTATTTTTTTGTTTACTGTAAAAAAAAGGGAAAGATGACATTACATTTTCTGAATCCCAGAGTCATCACACAGAATTAGAGATTCTCCACTGGCACCCCTCAAAGTCAGGCTTCAGATGCTGACCTTGTCCTACCTGAGGAAGTCTAATAATTCCCACTCACCTCTTCTCTCCGTTTTTCCAGACACCACAAAATATCCTCCTGCATTCTGTTGCTTTATTCTTCTACCCTCAGTTCTGCAATTGTTAGTCACTGCTTTTAAGGATACCCTTTCACCTTTTGGGGAGGGTGGAAGGTCAGGTTTGAGGGGACACTGATTTTATTCCATTATGGTGACATTTGCCAAATGTTCTTTTTAAATAAAATACATAGCTTTTTAAAATTTTGTGGAAGTATAATGTACATCCAGAAAAGTATACTTATTGGAAATTTACAGATTGATGAACTTCTGAAAACTGAGCTCACCTGTGTGGGCTGCACCTAGCTCAAGACAAGGAGCAGTCCACCTGGTGCACATTTCAAATCACCACCTTCCCCTACCCGAAGGTGACAACTAGCCTGACATCTAACAGCACTGATTATTTTTTCACGTTCTCATGATTTATATAAATAGATGAGATGATGTGATTTGTAACTTTTTGATCTGACTTCTTTGGTTCAATATTATTCTTGAGATCCATTCAAATGTAATTGTAAGTTGTTTATTCTTTTTTGCTGTATGTTATTCTCTTGGGGAAATCAATATATCACAACACATTTACCTATTCTGCCATTGATTGACATTTGGGTACATTTGGGTGTTCTCTTTTAATTGCACATAGCAATTATATATATTTAATAGATATAGCATGATATTTTGATAGATGTATGCAATCTGCATGATCAAATTAAACAATTATCATGTCCACCACCACAAACATTTACATTTCTTACATACCCATTTATCTTTTAAATGAAGATTAATTAATCTTGTTCCTTCCAAGACCTGGAAAATGGTCTTCTATAATGTTTTCCATTGTATTTACCTTAGAATTCTATATTTTTGAAAAACAATCTTCATTGAAGAGAAAATATATTATAATATGATGTGCAGATGGATTATTTCTAGGTTTAAAAAGTATATATAGTTTTATATAACAGTCATTGTTCTATCAGGAACACAATAAGACTTTTAAGGAAATTAATAGAGTGTTGATGTGTTAAATAGTTTGCAACTTTTAATTATATTGCACAAATAAAATTACTCAGTGAAATGGTAACCTTTGATTAAAACAAATGACTTAATCCTTAAAATACTTGCAAGTAGCTAGTACCAGAATAGAAAAAGAAAGAACTGAAGCTTAAGGGGCTTTTTGCCAAGTTTAGGTTCGCCCACTTGAAAATAAAAATCTTCATTTAAAAAGCCCTTACTAAAAGTAATGCAATAATGTCTATATTTAAATGCATCATACATCATAATGTTTATATTTTGACCTTTTCTGGTCAAATTCTTCCACCGGTGATGATTCCAAATCTCCTTTTGTAAAGGTAATAACAAAACATAAAATACCATTTGTTATGATTGTCAAAATATATCAGAAAAAAATGACCTTATGCATGATACCAAATAAAGATCATGCAAATTGCAATGAAGATAATTGATTATGCCTGGATTTTCCCAGCAAAGATCCATCCAGATGTTAGACTCATTGGGAGCATCTAGAGTAAGTGACAGCCAGCTCTTCTTCCCACCCACCATCCCAGAAATCACTCCAGTGAATATATTTCCAGCACAGAGTGAGAGAGTGAATATTTTCTGAATTACGTAGCCAATTTGGAATGGTCACTATGTGTCAGGTTCCTTGCTAGTCTCTTCCACATGTTCATGCTCTTCTCCTCCACCTCAACCTGTGGGATGGCTTGAGGCAGACAGCTCTTTTTCAAGTCCACTTGTTGGCAAAGACCATCATATAATCTTAGGCAAGTTACTTAATATCTCTCTACCTCACTTTTTTTTTTTTTTTTGGGGGGGGGCAGTATTGGGGATTGAACTCAGGGGCACTCAACCACTGAGCCACATCCTCAGGCCTATTTTGTATTTTATTTAGAGACATGGTCTCATTGAGTTGTTTAGCACCTTACTGTTACTGAGACTGACTTTGAACTCAAGATCCTCCTGCCTCAGCCTCCCTTAGCCACTGGGATTATAGACGTGTGCCACTGTGCCCAATTGCCTCACTTTTTCATCTTTAAAATCATAACAATGATACTTATTTTATGGAATTGCCATGAAGATTCAAGTAATTAACATACTTAAAGTTCCTAGAAAGTGTATAATAGGGAGAATGTACAATTTAAGTGTAATAGAAGCCATTATGATTTAATGATGTAATTATAGTGAATGTCACATTAGTATATAATTCATAAAATTGTACAATATTGATACAAACTGTTTTTTTAATTTTTAATTGTAGATGGATACAATACCTTTATTTTATTTTATTTTATTTACTTTTATGTGGTGCTGAGAATCAAACCCAGTGTCTCACACATGACAGGCAAACATTCTATCACTAAGCTACAACCCCAGCCCACAAACTATCTTATTATCTAAAATGTTAGCTTATTGTCCTAAGGGTGCAAAGACCCTAAAAAGCACCTGAAATACTAGCCAGAGTACATCCAGAAAAAAATTATGCAACAGCTAGAATTAAGCGATAAAAATAATGTGGCTCCCTGGGAACATCCAAGACAGAACACTCATTTTGTGTGCCACAGTGAGCTCCGGGTAGGTACATCTTGTCTCAAAACATCAAATGCCAAGTACATCATTCAGAAGACAGCCTTTCTCCAACAGAAGCAATTTGTAGTCTATTGAAACTAGAACACTATAACAGTGTTCCCCTGTACCCACTTAAATCATAAGAACTCCTTTTCCTTGTAAACCCATCAGTCCTCCATGAAACAACTGTAGAGATTTCGTCCATAGTTATTTAGGCTTCTGTTGAGGGGCTGTCTGAAGAAAACGCAGTCCAGCAAATTCAGCATCCTTACTCGTTCTTCAAAAGAGGCAGCATTTAGGTGCCCATGGCCCGGAACACTATTCTACACACTGACAGGACCTCTGCCTTGAACCCCACTTAGGAGGAGAGACTGTCGTTTAATCACTGGTCTCAGAGATGGAGGGTAAACATCCTATGCTGTAGTCACAGCTGTGTCACTCAGCCACATGGTTTTTTCAGAAGTTCTAAAGAAGAAGTAGCCCTTGCCATCTTTGTGAGGCATTATGGTGATCAGCCCAGAGGAGGCTTTTGACACTTAACCTTTCAGAAAGAGAAGTAGGAAAAGAACAGTGCAGAAAAAGGGGGAAATGGAGACTTTGAGATTTCACACCAAGCAAACAGACTACCTAGGACTAGGGGCAAGATGTGAAATCACAAAGAACTTGGGGTCAGTGAAAAGTCTCATGCAGGGAGGATTATCAAAGCTATTTAGAGCCAATGACAATGACAATGGATTGGAAGGGAGAATAGACTATGTCTGAGAGCAGCAACAGATGCTGTTAGCCCCTCTACAAAGCCTCAAGTGGCTGGAGAGAAGGAGTAAGGGCACCTGGTTGCCTGAAAGGGTAACTAGAAAATTCCGTGGATTTTTTTCAACAGTACTGAGAAAATTATAAAAATGGAGAACCAGATATTTGCAGGTTAAATACTTTGAATTGAAAATTGCTTAGATTAGTTTTCTTAGAAAAGGGATGATACAGAGGCATGGATATTATTAATAAGAATATCTCACTGTGTGGCAAATGGCAGTAGCAAAGAGGAGTATGGACCCCATAGGTCCTAAGGTTTTTCTCCATGGTGAACTCCTTTCACTAGATGAGATGTAGATCACACACACACACACACACACACACACACACACCAAAAACAAACAAACAAAAAAAAAAAACCCGTGCATTAGTGACTCTAGAAGCCTTTGGACCCAGTGAAACTGTGTATGGCAGATTTTCCAAATGTTTCTTCAAGATGAAATTTATTTTCAAGAAACCAAAGAACTTCCATTCTCTGGCAAATGAAAGTACATGATTAGAATTCAAGATAACCTCTTGAAAATCTGCCCAAAAAACAAAAAACATAAAAATTAGCTGAATCAGTGGGCAAAGTTAAGTCCCTCTCCTTTCACAAGAGACTTATTTTTTCACCCATTCATTCATCATTTTTACAACACTTCTGTGTACACAGCAGGCACCAGGTGTGCCTGGCTGAGGGTGAAACAAGAAACAAGTGCTTAAGTGAGAAACTAAGGCAGTGGCAGTTCACTACATGGAATCTAATTTGAAGTAAAATGTAGAAAATTTGTTTTAGATATTTTTTAGAAATTTTTTTTAAAAAATAGGGATCTGTTTAAACAATTTTTTAAAGACCAATTAAAAGGCAAAACAGAAGCAAGTAAGGTACGAAAGCAAGTAAGGTATGAAAGGCGGAGGCAGACAACCAGTGTCAGAGGTTGGGAGATTCAAAATCATGAAAGTTGAAGAGGAAAGGACATTTAGATTCCTAACACAGCCAATAAGTGCTTAGCAATCCGCTAGGAGCACCAAAGAGTCAGTATGGATCTGATCAGAAGAGTTTAAAATCCAGTTGGGAAGCCAAAGGCCTACAATCATAAAGTACTGACTAAAAACAGACCCTGACAGGCTGTCAGCATGAGATATTTTAATATAATATCAAATACATAGTCAATTTTTACATAAGAATTTGTTTATAATTTTATGTATTCAGTTTTAATATAATTCTAATTATATGAGACATGCATTAAATGATGAAAACTAGAACAACATGCAGATGTTTCCTAACTTAAAATGGTTCAACTTAGGATTTAACTTGAATTTACAATGGCAAATTCAGCATCCTTACTTGTTCTTCAAAAGAGGCAGCATAACTTCAAATTTTGAATTGGGTTGTTTTCCTGAGCCAGTCACACATGGTATGGCAGTCTCTGGTGGCGCTGGGCTGCAGCCAGCCATAGCTCCCAGTCAGCCACAGGATCACAGGGGAACTCAACTGACACTCTGCAGGTACTGTGTTGCTGGCTAGGAAGTTCAGTAGATTAGGCGTAATAAATACATGTTCCACTTGTGGTATTTTCGATTTATAATGGGTTAACATAATGTAACCCTGTCGTAAGTCAAGGATAATCTGTAATCTAATGATCATTATGTGCAGTCTAAGCTCTCTTCCTTCAGGGAGAAACTGCTATTTGAGGATGTTGTTCAGTATAATGTTTATATTTTTCATCCTTCTAGCCAGATAAAATAATCTGATACATAATCGAATATGAGTCAAAATGAGACTTTCAGAGAAAAGAAAAAAGATACAGCATTAGGTAGGCACAGCTTTTGTACCAAACCACCTGGCAGGGGTCCCAAAGCCTGATATTCTTTTTGTAAATTAACAAGGTTGCTGTACCATTCCCAGAAAGAGTGAGACAGCAGAGAGATGTCCCAGGCAGATCTTGCAGACACACTTGCATTATTATTATTATTATTATTATTATTATTATTATTATTATTATTATTATCATCATCATCATGGGAAAGAAATTGCAGCTACAAAGTGTCTCCTTTCTGCACGGAGAAGTGAATTCTAGAAGAAGAAAACCATAGCACCTTTCTTTGTACAAGAAACCCTAACAATAAAGTGCACAAACAGAAGGGCTGTGGAGTAATTCTGCCTCCTGGTGAATCCCAGCCACACCACTTATGGGCACTGCAGTGTTGAACCAAATTTAGCTTTTTGGGTCCAAATGTTTTATCCAAAGATGATGACAATAATAATTAGTCCATTTCCTTAACTATAAAATAGGGGTAATAGCTTGTAAAGATTAAATGATATAAAACCAGTTCAAGCACTTAACAAGGGTACCTGATAAGTAATAAGCAACCAATGCAATTTTTCCAGAAATAATAAGCAAGCACTGGGGGTGGGCAGAAAGTAAAGACAACTGAGGGCTGACTTTGCCATTCCTTAAAATAACAACGTGGAGTTGTTTTAAAGGCAGGAATCCTCTGGATGATATGAGTGGAGTCACCAAAAGGCAGAAAAGGCCACAGAAACTTGACCACTACCTTCCAAGGAGAAATGATCAATTTTTGAAAATTTGGCTAAAAAAATACCCTTGGCTTATATATGATGAGTTATTAAATCTTATGTACTGTGCCCTGTGTCGTAAGCACGGGGTAAAGTCAGGAGGAAGCCAAGCGAGTTTTCTCTATGGCACTGACAACTTTAGGAATGAATTTCTCAATGCTCATCATCTCAGCGAGGCCCATGCCAAGGCTTCACTAATGGAAGCAACAAGTGGTTCTCCAGTGAACAGAGCTGCCACGGAACTAATGGTGAGAACCATGAGCAAAGTAACCCTCGGAAGAGTGGAGAACTTGTTCAGATCATGCCACGCCATTGCCAAGACTGGGCATCCGCTCAAAGATTTTATTTGGATGTGCAAGTTGGATGACATGAAGGGTGTTGATATTGGCCCAGTCTTCAGAACTAACAAATCAGCGAGAACATTTACATATTTTATTGCTGAGGTAGAAAGGAGAAATCTACGAGAAAAACTAGAGAAAAGTAAATTTTTCTCCATCATCAGTGATAGAGTCATAGACAGTTTCATCAAGGAAGCTGAGCTTGTGTATGTACAGTTTGCATACAGGGGGAAAGTGCACTGTCAAATTGTTGGGGTTCAGACAGTAGAGAGGGAAGATCCTCTGTCAATAAAAAATGCTATTGAGAAAACACTAGAGACAAATCTTCAGGTAAGGCTGTCAAGCCAAGACTGGGCAAAGAAACTGGTTGGTTTTGGAAGTGAAGATACGCCTGGAATAGAAGGAGAGAATGGGGTGGCCCTGCTTTTGAGAGAAATCCAGCCATGTGTGCAGACTGTATACTGCTTTGCACATCACCTTGAACTATCCTATAAGGCAGTGTTCCAGAGCATTCCTCTGTACAATGATTTGGAAAAACTCCTTCATAACATCTATCACTTCTATCACAATTCTTCTCTCCACAAGAGCTCTCTGATAACTGCTTTCAAAGGCCTGCACCTTCGACCTGTGATGCCTTCTCAAATAAGAGGCAGGAGGTGGTTTCACGGATTACAGGCAGACCTCCAGAATTTTCTCAAGGGATATCCTGCAATTGTTCAGCAACTGCATTCAGTAAGTATTTTGAAATGCCATATTATAACAGAAAATACTTTCATTTAGCTCCTTGGAGTAATGATTTTGAGAATGATAACTACTCTATTTTCCCAACTGTGCTTCAGGCAGGTGAAGGCAGAAGTATCACCAGTCAACAGAAAGCCAAAGAGCTTCTAGATCTCCTCCTCCAAGCTGACATGCTTAAATTTTCCCATTTTTTGATGGATGTCATTAGTGTCCTTAGCATTCTGTCCCATGTCATTCAGAATAGAAATTCCTCAATTGCTGACATATTTGCCACCTTGGAGTCAACACTGGAAATGCTCCGAATATATCAAACCAGGTGAGGAGTTCTGTCTGTCAAACCAGATTATTGGACTTGGGAAATCATTGCCCAGTGCCTTTTCATGTAATTCTTTTTTGGGGTGATTTTTTTCCTCCACAGACCAGGTCCCAAAGAACGCAGGGTAGATTCAGTCACACACTTTCACAGTAACTGCCTCAGAGGGAAAGAAAACATTTCTTCTGTGAGAAACGTGGTTTTAACACATTTTATCAAGACGCTGCGGAGTTGTTTCAGAGATGCCAGTCTAGATGTGGTGAGGGCAACCATGATTGGAAGCTTTAAATTGTGGCCCACAAAACTAAATCAAGGTAACCTGTGCACACTGACTCAACCTGTTATTCTTTGATTGTGTGAGTTTTGAATGTGTGACTATATATATATATATATATATATATATATATATATATATTGCAGAATTTGGAGAAAAAGAGGTATCCATCCTAATTGCACATTATGAACCAGTATTAGAAGCTGCCAATGTGAAAATTGATGAGGTGGACACTGAATGGAGCATGTTAAAATTAGAGATTTATGCCAGGTGAGCAAGAAAACACACTGACTCAACAAGTTCATCTATATAATATTTCAGCAAAACCCAGGTGTCTCAATCGTCTATGGTTTTTGTCCTCCCTTCTAGATTTCAGAATATTCGAAAACTGACCTGGGATTTTGTGAATTCCATTTACTCCCACAAGTACCCGAATGTTCTGATGCTAGTTGACTTGGTGCTGGCCCTGCCTGCAAGTTCAGCTGAAGCAGAACGTGGCTTTCATCAAATGAGACGTACCAAGTTACATGTGCATGCTGAAATCGATGCTGAAAGTATGACAGATATCCTGATCATTCAGTTGAATTCTCCAGACATCAACAATTTTGACCCTAGGAAAGCTATCCATTTATGGAATACAAAAACACCATCTTCAGCCGGTGACATGGGGCCTAATACAGATTGCTCATCACACTCAGAAAGCCAAGATGAAAGTGATGAGTCGAGTGACAATGTTGACTTCTGTTATTGATCATATTAAATAAATATAAAAATCAAATGGTAAAAATTTAAAAGTAAGAAAGTAATTTAGTCTTCACCTTAAACACAAAAGACCTTCGGCATCATCCAAACATACAAGCAAAAATTTGAAAACTGGTTTTCCTGGAACTTTCCAACTTTACTTCTGGGTTCACATGTTCTTTTGAATTCTTTGGATGGGGGTGCATGCTTCTAAGCAATGCTGTTCTTTTGACATCATTTTCCTGAAAGTTCTCTCTAAGGATAACCAGACTGATTATGGTCTTCTTCACTTAGGCCTGTACAGAGTTAACTATTTTTCCTGGATAATTCTAAATGAGAATAACATTAGGTAACTAACATAAAGGCAAATTGAAAGAAATGTTCTTTTTAAATCTATGAACAAAATTTGGAAATTCATCTGTTGTTGTATTAGGTATGAAAATCATATCGCTACACGCCTTACCTAATTGGGTAAATATTATGAGGTCAAATATTAAAATAATTTTCACATTTCACACCAAGATCCCCAAATAAATAATTCCTATGTCATATGAAAGCATTGTCTAACAGCACTGTTTCCCCATAGCCTTTAGAGACAGTGGAAATACATCGTACACTTACCAGAATTTTTAAGTACTTTGGCTTTCTTAATGATTTCAATAGTTGTTATTTACAGTTTCTTCTTGAGGAATATAACCAATTTATTTCTAACTCACATAAAAACTAATGTGGTATCATATAACTTCACTGAAAATCCTACTACCTAGAAATAAGTCCTCAACTCTATGAAATTGAATACTCGTGTGTGATCACAAAGAATACAGAATCTATTTCTGAACAACCTCTGGATGGCCGGTTATATCAAAGAAATAAAAAAGTCCACTTTTGCTCCCCAGAATATTACCTTGCAATCTTGAAATTGTATATTTGACTTGAACCACTGACATTTTAAAGGGATTATTGCATTTCCCCCAGAGGTTAAACATATAATAAACTTCATGTGGACTTTTAAAAATGCTAAAAACATAGATGTAAAAAAGAAATTTGGGGAATCTACCTCTATGTTTCACTCTTTTTTTATTCCTAAACAAAGAATGGCTGTTGACGTGGAACCTAAAAGATACCTGGATATGTGTTAGGAGCCTCTCCTGGGTCTAGAAGGTACCTCTGCTGCATGGATTAGGAGAATTTTTCTTACAGCAGATACTTTTATTTTATTTTCCTATTTCTTTTTTTAATGCATGTGCATGCAGTTTAAAATGAGAAACACAAAATTAGACATTTTTTTTTTAGATAAGGTAAAGTAGATCCATGTATAAGAGCAAAGCATTTGAAAGTTTGGTGATAGTTTATGAAATACTTGAAAATGTCGAGTCAATTAGATTATTAAATTAGAACTTTCTATCTAGTTATGTAACAATTCAAATCTCCCTACATTTACAAAAGCAAATAAACAAATTCTGAGTGAAGAAAAATATGAGGATAAATGTGTTACCTTAATTATAGTGGTGATCTGCATGCATTTGAAACAACTTTATCTCATGTTTACCAAAATTACTCTTGTGCCCTACTGCATATAGAAAAACTTAGAGTAATGTTTTTAAAAATTCAACCTATTCTGAGCAGAAAAATCAAAGAAGACTATAAAATAAAACATACATAGTTTCACTACTTTGCTTAATTGGAATGAATTATTATTAGGCAAAAAACATTTTTCACTCAGGAAACAATAATAGAAGAGGTCAGGAAAATTATTATTATTATTATTATTATATTTTCAGACTTTTTGTTTCTCTAAAGATTACAGTGCTGAATAATATTTTTAAATTGATTATATAGCCAGGCTCAGTGGCACATATCTATAATCCCAAAGGCTTGGGAGGCTGAGACAGCAGGAACTGAAGTTCAAGGCCAACCCCAGTAACTTAGAGAGGTCCTAAGCAATTTCATGAGACCCTGTCTCAAAATGAAATACAAAACGGGCTGGGGATGTATTTCAGTAGTAAAGAGTGCCTGGGTTAAATTCCTAGTACCAAAAAAAAAAAAAAAAAGAAAATGATTAAATAAATTCCCATTATTTTTTCTACTTTAGGAAAAGAAAAAAAAATCCTTATCACATAATATAAATGACAAAATATTTTTCATTCTACTGTAGGCATAATAGGAAATAAGGCATTTACTGACATTCTGCTTGATGTGGTGACCCTGAACCTTGGAACAAACAATTTCCCTAGTGGATGGATGCACCTCACCCAACCTGAAGTAAGCTTCCATTTTGTTCCAGCTTCAAAGGTTTTCATATTATTCTTATTTAAATGATGAGTCATGAGTTCTAAAATAACCTGTACTTACACAGTGTCTGACATTTAGTAGGCGATGAATGAAATCTGAATGAATGAACAGATGAATAGGCTTGAAACCAAGACACATAGCATGTGCATACTCAGTATTTGAAGAATGTTAATGATCATACAGTCAGTAAGGTTTGATCAAGAAGCTTCTATTACTACCAGATGTCATGACCCTAACTAGTCATAGTAGATGATTCTGCAGTCCTAACTTTTCATCATAATCTTTTCCCTAAAAATGTCTCAGAAAACAAAACCGTTAAAAGTTTTGGTTAAGCCACCATGTGGGCTGCAGAGCCCTTGCCCAGGCACAGCTACAATCTTTACCCAGCCTCTGTGCATGGGTAAAAAGTTAACTGGAGTCCCGTATAAAGTGGTTGTGGAAGAGTAAGCAAAAAACATGGATGTCAAGGAAGCAAAAAGTAAAACACTTTCTAGGTACTGCCTGGTGTGGATTTGTTCAGAGAACAAAAGGGAACTGAAGTCAGAACTGGCTCTTTTCACCAGTATAAAATTCTATTTCTTTTATCTGAATTTTAACTCTGGAAGCCTGAGCTGGTAGAGCTTCAAGGTAAGAGTAATAAAAATATTCCAATGACATTTCTTGTTTTCTTTCAGCTGCAGGAGTTAACATCTTTATTGATAGTGAACTCAGAGTTCGTGGACTGGCGGAAATTCCTGTTAGTAACAGCAATGCCTTGGCCCATCCCCTTGGAAGAGGAACTCCTTGAGACCCTGCAGAGGTTCAAGGCTGTAGACGAGGCTCAGACAGGAACCATCACTTTCGAGCAGTACATGCAGGTTGCTACCAGAGCTGGTGGACTGGGAATACTACAATACTTTTGGCCTAAGAAGTGTCTTATTCAGTGATGTCACATCACAGGTCTCAGGCCAGTGTTTTACTCCTTGACTGTCCACGTCTAGGCAGCATAGGAAAAGTGTCAAAACCCCAGGTGGTATTATGGCTTCCATCTCCAGGGAAAGCATCTTAAAAAATCAGAACTTGCTAAAGAACTAAAGGTTCAGAAAGAAGTCATGGTGAGAATATATTTGACAAACTGAGTATAAAATGTCTGTGGGATATGTAGGCAAAAATAGCCAATCTGATATGGCAGGTCCAGAAGGGATTGCAGGTCATTCCTATGAAGGTGGTTGGTGAAGTTATGAATGAATGAGATCACCCAAGGAAAGTGATATGTATTCCCATTGCACAATGCCTTCCTGTTCATCTTGGCAAGTAGAACACAACTGGTGACCTCCACCAAGACAATGTTGGTAGAATAAGTAGAGAAGCCAGATTGCAGAGGGTTGAGGAAATGAATGTCTTTAGGAAGACAGAGAGATGTTCAAGTCATTAAACCAGGTGTGTGAAAATGCAACCTAGTTTTGAAAAGTTTAAAAAAGAAAAGTGAAATTCTGTAACTGATAGGGACCTGAGTTACTAATTTTTCCTCTACAGCTTGAATTCATCCCATTGCTTATCATTTCATGTTACTGGTAGACAAATAAAGAAGGAAATGTTCACAAGGTGCTAATTCTGAAATAGGGTCATAGTCTCAAAGTACCTGTATCTCACAGGTGTTTGCATTGAAAGAGCTCATCCCTTCCTGCTTTTCTTCTCTTTCCAGCTAATTGGTGGCATGCTTTTTTTGTCATTTGTTTTTAAATTTTAAGATAGCCCTGAGGTCTCCGTGCTCAGATAGGTAAGCCAGAGGAAATAGCACTTGAAACCCGTGGAGGTTCATCAAGGTGGAGCAAGACAGGTGTTTGGCTGATAGGACTCTGGTATATTTGTCATTGTCATTGTACAAGACTTAATAATTATTAGGGTGATTTTGTTTGAAGATGAAAACAGCAAAGCAAAACTTTCTATAGATGGCTTAAGGTCTTAAAGTGGGCACTCATGGAAACCTTTAATATTTACAGCAATGTGTTAATTAACACAGGATATCAATTTGAACATCCTTTGGTACAAACATGAAAAGAAGAAAGGGTGTTGGCAATTTTTACCAAAGTGCTGAGCCAAAACCAGAAAGATCCTCTACCAAAGGTGTGAATTTCTTAGAGAAAGTTGGATGTTGCCTTTAGTAGAAACTCAGAAATACATACTTGAACACAATCTATATTTCGAGAAGAGCTGATTTCTGAGCTCTGCCCTCTCCCCTTCCCCTCTTAGTTTCTACTCCTTAATATTCCTAGGACATCAGTGCCATTTGGTGAGGCACACTTGACTTTCCAATACTCACAAGCCAGAGAGAGAGAGAGATGGAGAGACAGAGAGAGAGAGAATAAAAAATGTGGTTTCATGGAAAAAATCAAAACAGCATCTAGGACGAAATTTTATAAAATCTGGTGAAAATGCCACATGGAAACAGTAAGGAAGTATAACTACATCACCACGATGAAGTTTTCTGGGAGAAAATGTCTGTTTACTGTGTTTTCTATTCTCTCTCTCTCTCTCTCTCTCTCTCTCTCTCTCTCTCTCTCTCTTTCTCAAACACACACACCTTTTGACAAATTGCAAGTTCAGAACAGTCACATAGGAGTGGCTGATTTCTCCACTTCCAAAATGGAAAAAGCCCAGCCTTTGTGGTCATTGTGGTCATTCAGGCCTTGCCTCTGGGCTGAGTGATGAGCAGAGGCCGGTTTGCCCTTTGCTCCTGGCCTGCTGTGGGCTCACATGCTTGCACTCTGCAGATATGTAGTGGAATTCTCTGATTTTGAAATACAGATCATCTTCTAAAGGTGAGAACACATGTTTATAAAGGTTTAACTAGTCAGATGTTGTAGGATCCAAGCAGCACTACTTCTTTAAGGAAAAGTGAAGGGGGAAAAAAAAAACACTAGAATTCTTTGGCCAGGTTTTAACAAGAAGGTACAAAGAACATTTCCATATTATAGAGAGAAACCACCTAATAATTCAGTGAGGCAGGATGCAATTAATTGAACCTTGATTGTAAATTTAAACCTCTTATGATATAAGTTCACATTTAACATTTCAGGTTGCTATAATTTTTATGAAAGGTGTTTTGTTTTTTTTTTTTAGAAAACAAGATTTTTTTTTCCTTTCTGATAATGGTCCTTTGTATTTAAAGTATTTTGGAATGATTTTCTAATTTGCAAACTATCATATGCTGTAGAAGGCTAAAACAAATGAATCCTGGGTTTAAGAACCATGGGAAAATCCTGTGCATTGAAGCAATAAATATGGAACTGATCGTTGGTTGAGTAATGAGGAAAAGAGCAGAGATTTTACCTCTGCTTCTTTTTGCCCCTGTAACTTCTTTTAATTTTTCCTCTTTATTGCTGGAAATTTGGACATTTGATTATTGTGTTCCTCCCTAAGGTTTTCTTTATGTCCCTTCTTCTAGGGGCTCATAGAGCTTCTTGAATCTGTGGGTTTGTAATTTTTGTCAAATTTGGAAATTATTTTTAGGACTGCTTTTCCAAATATTTTCCCACTCTATCCCCAATTCTCAAAGCCATTCACATATTTGTTTATTAGACTATCTGGTATTGTCCCACAGGTCACTGATGCTTGATTGATTTTTTTAAGTCTTTTTTCTCTTGATGATTTATTCTGTATTCATTTTCTATTGCTGTGTCTTCAAGTTCACAGAAGAGTCAAGTTTTCTGTTAATAAAGACTAGCATATTTTTCATCTCATATATTGTATTTAGAAGTTCAAGTTGCATATTTTTTGAATCTTTCAATTATATCTGTATTTTTCTTTACCTTCTGAAATAGAATAGCTTTTCTAAATTACTGTTCTGTATATAGAATTGCTGTTTTAACATCCTTGTCTGTTCATTCTGTCATCTGTTCTCATTTCCGTGTTGGTGTTTTTCCTGGCTGTGGGTAATACTTTCTGTCTTTTTGTATGCCTAGTAATTTCATATTAGATGCAAGGTGCTGTGAGTCTTATATTTTTGAGTATCCAACTTTGCTGTACATTATTACTGTAGTACATGAAGTAGTATTACTTGGAATCAGTTTCATCCTTTCAAGGTCACAGCAAGGATTGTGGAGGTGGGTCCAGAATAGCCTTTACTATAGGCAATACCCCCTTGGGGCTCAATGTCCTGTATATTAGAAAGACTTTCTACTTTGGCTGGTGGTAACATGAACTAATCCCAGATCTGTGTGTCTTGGGAGTTACTGAGCTTACTACTTTGCAGTGGTTCTTTCTCCAACCTCTGATATTCTCCTCCGACACACGCAGACCAGCCCTTAGTCTTCCTTGAGAAAACTCTTCTGCACATCTTCAGAGCTCTCTCACTCTGTGTGCAGCCCCAGTACTCTGCCCTTCTTTGGCCTTCCTCAACCCAAAACCTGTTTCCTGAATTCAGGAAGGACACCAGGCCTCAGATGCTCCTCCCTGCAGTATAGGCTGGAACAATAGTGGAATCCTCATTTACCTTTCTTCTTTCAGGAATGACTCTTGTGTTATCCATTGCTGAAGGTCTAAAATATACTATTTCAAATATGTTGTCCATTTTCTTATTTAAGGCAGGAAGGTGACTCTGCCCTTTAATACTCCATCATACTCAGAAGTGTAAGTCTCTCCTATGTTCTTCATGGCTCCATTCTCCCATAGAGTGGTCCATTCTTCCACAGAGCAGTCACTGGGCAGGGATCTCCTCCTGGTTGGTGCAGAAGCATCTTACATTTAAAGCTTGAGCCCACGCTGGACCTTAGGCTTTTTCTGGCTCTACTCCCTCACAGGCTTCCACAGAGCCAGCATCTCTTTGTTCCAAAAAGAAAAGAAAATCCAGTTCTTACCTCTACAGGTGATCCAATGCCATCATATCATTAAAACACAATTGATTCTAGGAAGGAAAGAAGGGGGAGAGGAACGGAGGGAGGGAGGGAGGGAGAAGGAAAAAAGGAAGAAAGGAAGGAAGGCACAAAATATAGGTGTGAGTCAGGTTAAGCCATCCAGTAGCTCATGGCCGTAGTCAGTGTTGAGGATAGGTTGGTTGTCACTCTGGAAGACAGTAAGGGAGCAAGAACTAAGAACAAGATAGTTATATACATGAAATGTTTACCAGAAATAAAAATTAAATTGGCAAGATATTTTCTTTATGCTTGTTCAATAGCAGACATGAATGTCATCCCCTAAAGGAATGAACTAAGTGTCAATGGTGGGGCATAAACAAGTCAAATTGTTCAGAGAGCTCAAGGAGAACCTCTCTGAGAAAGTATGATCTGAGCCAGGTCTGGAAAGATGTGTAGCCTTTCCTGGGAGGAGGAGGACAGATAGAAGTGATGTAAGGTAAGAAGGACAATATGACCAAAAGAATGAGGGTAGAAAATGGTTCTGAGCAGAGAGTGACAGGGCAGCATGCATGTTTTGAGAAAATCGTTATGTTGCATAATAAATGCTGAAATAAGTAAGAAAGAGACTGGGAACCAACCAGCTTGAGTTACTGAGTGACCCCTGGCAGAGATAATGGAGTCTACCAGAGTAACAGTAGGGATGGAGAGAAGGGAAAGATGGCAGAGGGCTTGCCAAATCGGAACCAAGGGAGTTGGTGGTTCTTGTCATATACTGACTAGAAGAGATGTGTCGTTGAAAAAGAGGACACTGAGATCTAAGTCAGCTGTCAAGTCATTCCAAAAGGTTTTCTAATGTCAACAGCACATATAGCAGCACGCAAGGCTCTGCAGACTGACAGGAGGTGAGCAGCATGTGGCATGTGAGCTGCTGTTATGGGAACACAGACACCCCCAAATCCAGCCCATGAAAGTTTAACCTTTCCAGTAATGATCCCCTAGTTTTATTGTGTGCTCCAACAGCGAAAGCACCCCTCCTCTGTGGACTTGCACTTGTAGACTACATGTGTGTTAATGTTACACACAACATCAAATAAGTAACAATGAAAGCAACAAAAGAATGAGACAGAAAGAAATGTAAAGGCAAGTTTCAGGACTTTCTCTCACACCCCGCCATGGTTTCTGCACCGTGCTTTGGAGACCACTGTGACTCTAGAGTCTGGAACAAGACTGGTTTGAGCTCAGCCTTGAAGAGCCATTATACCTCTGCATAATACCTTAATGATGGTCACTTGTACTTTTTGTGTAGGCTGGTCTATGGTTTACCGGAGATGAAGACATAAAAATTCCAGAAAATCCTCTTGAACCCCTGCCATTTAATCGACTGGAACATCTGATAGAGGTAATTATTGAGATCTTTTTTTTTAAATCAGCATTATAGCACTGATCATTTATTTTCTTCAGGTTCTTCCACTTGGGGAGTTTGTTTTGGATTCCACCCTTTCTCCCCAGTTTCTTTGCTGTATCCCCCAAAGGCTGACTTTAATGCTAAGAAGACAGCATAGAGAAGCTCTAGAGGAGGAGGCTGGGCCCAACATCTTAGAGTCCTGCTGTTTTCTGGACAATTTCCATGGCCTCTCAGGATCAGAAATCTGTCAAATAAGCTCCACTGTTACTCAATATGTCTTTCTTTAAATTGCCTTTCAATTCCCAAATCTGTAGGATAAGATTCTAACATTTCAACAGCATATGCTGTTTGTCTATTTCTCTTTGGTTTTGTCTAACATCATATGATGTTGCCGTGGAGCCCATCAGAGCTGGCTGCCCTCAATCTTGTTCTCAATAATAACATTATTATTAGCCTCTATCTCCAAAGCAACAAGAGAAAGCAGGACCTTAAAAACCTGAAAGTCACTCACTCTGACTTCAGTGTAGATGTTTAAAATATAAAAATATATTGAACATGATCATTTCAGTAAGATGTGAGAAAAAATGAATGGTAGATTTAGATGTCAGAGCAAACTCTGTATAATATGTTAACTGTTCAATATCTAGGAAGCCATTAGTTCAAAATTACAGAACAAAATCAAACATTATGACCTTGAAGTGAGTAATTCCTTTCCATTGGATTTGTATTTTTCGAGCACATCTGCTAATGCTAGCAGGTTAGAGAAAAGGGGCCAGGAGTTACCAAAAAAAGCCCAAGATTCAAAAAATCCTTAGTGTTTTCCTGAGGAAAGGTGCTCTAATTTTGCTATATTAAAATCCACGAGTTGTTGTCTTATTCTCATCTCCACAGGTCTCTCCATGTGACAGCACATAACATGCCTCATTCCTCTAGACTGATTAATATTTGTTACAGCCAGTCTCTTTGATTCACACACATTCAAATCTCCTCTCTCTGTTCATCACTCGTAGTACCTCTTTCTATGATCTGTTTTTTTCCCCAAGGTCTCCATAATCACTATAAAAATTTACTTCATTTACATTGTTAGTTCATGACTGCCTGCCTTCCGTCAAGAATGTCAACTCCTCAAGAGATGGCATCTTTATCTTCTTGCTTCTGGTTTAATTTTAAACACCTAGAAAATTTCCATAGCTAGCACATTAAGGTGTCAGTATTTGCTGAGTGTGAAACATTGTGTTATTTTTTTGTGCTACATATAAATTACCATACAATTAGCTACCTAAAATAATACCCATTTATTATTTTATCGTTCTGCATACAAAAGTCCAGACATGGCGTAAGTGGGCTCTCTGCTCAGGTTCCCACAAAGCTGAAATTAGGGTGTTGTCTGGAGCTGCAGTATCACCCACAGCCAATGATAAGGCTGGATCCAACATTGGCTTCCCAGATGGATTGTTGACAGGATTCAGATCCATGCAGTTGTGGGACTGAGACCTTCAGCCCCTACAGACTACCATTTATTCCCTGCCACCTTGCCAATTCCATGACATGGCTGTTTTCTTCTTCATGGACAGGAGGAGAGCATCTCTCTGGTTTCTAACTTTCCCCTGAATAAAATAACATGTAGATTCCACTGATCTTTAAGATTCTTTTTTGTTTTGTAAATAACAGAGTTTACGCATTTTCCTACCAAAATTATTTAATTTATATTTGTATTGATAACATAAAATTTCAGAAATTCTTTTCCAAACTCACCTTCATGTATGTCTAATTAAATTTGCTCATAGTTGTAAGGGCTGTTGGTTACAGAGAACAGCAAAAGAGAAATATCCTCTGGATCTAGTAACTTCTCAAAGTGTGGGTCAGGACCAGTAACATCAGAATTATCTGGGGACTTTCTAGACATGCAAAACCTTAGATAGCTCCAGAACCCTCTGCTTAATCTGAATCTACAGTTAAAAAAGATTCTCCAGTTCACTAAGTACATAGTTGAGCAGAGTTGGAAATGGAAGCCAGTAGGCTTTCCCAATAAGGTTGTGTAGGTGCCTAGGTGTGGCCTGTATATCCCAGCTCTGAAGGCCCCAGAGGATATTAGGCTCCAAGCACTGACTCCAGTGCTGTCAAATGCACAAGACACTGGATGAATGAATGTCAGCTTAGTCATTCAGAGAGAAAGGTACCTAACAAATCAGCATTCAGAGCATATCATACCGTCTCCCTGGATGTGAATCCACGTTGGAAGAACTCACTTAAGGCTAGTAGGTTGAGGGACAAGTTCAGAGCAGAAAAAAACAATTTAAAGGCCTAAATGGCATCATTCTCTTTCCCATCTCTTTTCCACACGGGGAGAGATGGGCCAGAAGTCTCATATTTAGGGTCAAGACCCAATTTGTTTGGATGATTCAGAGGACAGACAGTGGGTCCTTGCTCTTGCAGCCCCTTTTCTCTACTTAAAAAAAAAAAAAATATATATATATATATATATATATATATATATATATATACACATATACACACACACACATACATATAATACATATTATATAAAATATATATTACATGTATATATATTCATTATATATAATTATTGCATTATCCTGAGTATGTTAATACAAATTGATTAGCACACAATTGTTTTCGACATTAGAATTCAGAATCCTGCTTTTCAACTTTTTTCTACTGAGACTGCTCTTCAGTTAATACCACTCATTACTAATTCAGTCCTCAGAAACTTCACTCCAATGCTCCTGCAGGGATTCTTCACTGCCCTGATGACCTGCTCACTTCCAGAGTGTGCCCATTTTGTCTTTGATTGAAATTCTTTTGTGTGACAGTTTTTCTTTAGGCTGTTTGCTGACTCTGAGGAGGACCCACCCCAGCTGGACTACACTCAGATGCTGCTCTATTTTGCGTGCCACCCAGACACTGTGGAAGGGGTCTACAGGGCCCTCAGTGTGGCTGTGGGGACCCATATCTTCCCACTGGTTGAAACTCCCATGATGGTTGCAGAAAAGGTAATCACATTTCAGAAATGGGCTAACTCTGGGCTCTGGAGGGGGTTGCAAAAGATCCTAAACCATTCAACAGGTACTCGGTTCTGGCTGTTTTCCATATTTCCCTCAGTTCCCAACATAATGCTTAACACATAGTGGGTCTTCAACAACGATGTTCTCAGTTGCATGAAGAACTGGAGACCCTAATTCTATCAAATACTTTTGTGGTGGAATCAAAATCCATTCAAAGTTTCTTGTTAGAATTGAAGTTTGCTCTGGAAAGGACAGCATTTATTTTGCATGTAGTGCTGACCCTGAGAAGGGAAAAAGAAGACATCAACCCCAATCTGTTTGTCGTGCTCTATGGAAACTGTATGAAGCAGGTTCAGGCCTTAGTGCTCCCACACATATGTGACTGTTGACAGTATTTTGGGCCAAAGCCAGGCCACCTGAAGTCTGCAGGCAGTTTGTATCACCAGACGAAGCTTAATATCAAGATGCCACACAGACGCCCCTTCAGATTTCTTAGGGATGGACACTGCCTTGCTTTGTTAGGTGGCAAAACCTCAGGGCAGGCACTAAATAACGCATTCTGAGGTGCCCGTTTGCACTGTGTGGCTTTTGGTTCTTCTGTTCTTTGGGGGACAGAGCTGAGGCCGTCCTGATGGGATGCTTGTTTCTATTCTGGGATATTTAGGTAGTCTAGACTGGACAGCAAAAGAGGGAAGCAAAGAGACCTAGTAATTCAGGCAGGACTCTGTTTATCCACTGAGTCCTGCTATTCAATTATTCCCACCTGGAGTCGGGGACAACTTATAACCCATTTTGTGTCCTCCAAAGTAGCTTCATATAGTCAGTGTTCTCTTAATGTCTGCGAACCAGTCTGACAATGAAGGAGGGGAGAGAGGGAGAGTGAAAGAAATGGAGTCCAGTCTGCAGGGCACAGAGGAGGAGGGAACGCATCCCGGGCAGGCAGAGGCAATAGTGAGATCCAGGCAACTGGTTTGAGCTGAAAAGATCTGGGGAAAGGAAGCTGTGGTAGAGCTGTTGCCATAGCAACAGACAAACACCTCCGTGGGTGGCAGCCAGGCCAGCTAGCACTGAGGTGCTGAGTCCCTGAGTTGCTCATTCAATTTATGCTAGTGCCTCATCCAGGAAAGCGCTCCCTTTGAGTGCTGCTCTCAGGAGCTCTTTTAAAATCCAAGGACACAGAACAGCTGCTACAAAACAGAGACCAAATGTGGGTGTGCAGATGGGGAAGGGGCAAGGGATGGCACCTCAAGTCTCTCTCACAGCCTTTCCTGCTTGTTCCTGACTTGGAATGAACCCTAGGAGCTTTTGAAACACAGGAGCTACCCGCCTCCCCCAATCTTGTTCACCCCTGGTCCTCACCATCTTGTCTCCAATTATGCTATTCCATTTCTGAGCCCTTTCCAACTGTGTTCCTGTTTCCTGGGCAACCTCCTCCCAGGAGGCCATAAGGAGCCTGCTCAGAAATAACAACTACAGCAGATCTGTATTTGCTCCCAAGACATTCAATCAGTCTCTGCTTTTGCTTTCTGCATAAACAACTGGAATCTCCCCCCATGTTTCATGCTTCCTTGGTCCATCTCTGCAATTCATGCTGATTTCATTCAATGCGGCTCAGACATGTTTAAAAACTATGGCTTCTTGGGTAATTTCAAAGAAGCTCAAGATCAAGTCATTCATCAGTAATGCACTAGTCCTGGTGAATCTTTAAATAAGTGACATTTGGGGAAAATGGTCCGTTTTCTGCAACCTGTGTGGCATGGGGTTGTGATATTTGAATTTAGTAAATTCCGAACTCGTACCTCCCACAAGGCACAAGTTTTGTAAAAGCAACTTGGCAAGAGTATTTTGAGGCCCTCAGGTTCAAAGTGCATAAATTTCTATTTCATTCATTCTTTTGATGCTTTGCCCACCTTTGTTCCCAGAACTGGCCTCATTTTCTGCCTTCTGAGATGTGAGACTGAGCTGATTGCATGAGTGACACATGGCCAGGAAGGTGTGCAGGCACCATTCCAGGGACGCACTTGGGAGAAGTCCTTGAGGCCTATCTCTGAGACTTAGCCAAGTGTGACACAGTGCTGGACAGCGTCACCTTTCCCCTGCTTAGAGAACAATGGGAGTCTCATAGTGTTTTTGATGCTACACATAATCACTCATTCAAAACACTGGTTTTTCATCCAGCTGGCATGACTGGCTTTGTTCCTACACCCACATTCAAAATGGCTCTTTCTGTCTCTGTTGAGAAACCCTTTTCTTGCACAGTCTTCGGCACCTCCAGGATGCTGAACTGGCTCCTTTGGTCTGACCTAGACCTCCGTCCTTTCCCATCAGACTTGTTCTGTCTGATCCCCAGAGAGCAAAAACAGAAAAATTAAAAAAAAAAATCCTCTGACATTAATAAGATTGGGATTCTTCACTCAAAAATGTCAACTTTTTACATTTTCACCTTTTGGATAAAAAATTCATGTATTTTATAATGCTTATATCAGACCATTAAAAAACAAATCCCTCCCTAAATATGGAAATAGTTCCAGACCGGCCAGGTTTGGTGGTTGTTTGTTTTGGCATTGCCTGCTCATCTAACAGATGAGTCCTTTACTTTGGCTTTATCTTGTCCACAGAGCACCCATGCTACATTCTGAGTAGAAAATTTCCCATTCTCCATTCCTTCAATAAGATGTTTCACATCCCCTGTTTATTTTCTGGACGGAATATTCTGTTGCCCCTAAGAAATTACTGATGGGTAATCAATGCCATGATCTCCAAGATTCCTAGGTCGAGAGACTAAAGCCAGGGTCACTTTCTTGCCATGTAGCATTTTCAATTGTTTAACTGGAGTAGAGGTTGAAGTGCACATATACGGGTATATATAAAATTCCAAAATCTCCAACTGGTAGAGTCCTCCTATTATTTTTAAGAGTCAATTAAATTCTGCTTTTGCTTTCTGCATAAACAACTGTAAGTCTTCCCCCATGTTTCATCCTTCCTTGGTCTATCTCTGTAGCTCAAGCTGACTTACCAAATAATACAGAGCCCCCCCCCCACACACTAAAGCCAGGTGACCACCCAGAGCTAAAGCAAATGCAGCCTGTCTTCATCACACTTCCCATAGTGCCTCCAAAATCCCTTCTGGCAACAGATGAGCACCAGAGGCTTAATTTTATGACATGTCATAATTCTTGTATGCAGAACACTTATATTTGGAAAGAATTTGTATAATCTATGCACTTAATACTTCTAAGGAATTAAAGATTTACAGACATTGGAACCCTCCTAAATAAACACATTTTTCTTTCTTAGGAAATCAGAATTCAGAGATTCTCTGACATCTGGCCAACCAATATCCCAAAATATCCATTTCCCTGTGGTAAATGATCATAATTAGAAAACATGCATATTCTCTCTCTCTCTCTCTCTCTCTCTCTCTCACACACACACACACACACACACTCACACACACACACGTATGAATAGATGTTTACTATAGAGAATTCAAAAATTATAAAACAAAGGAAAAAATAAATAGCCCTTTCTACTCCCCAGAGGTAATCACTTTTAACACTGTAAAGTATCTATGCCCTTTATTTTTATTAATGAGGATAGATACATAAGAAAAGGGGTACCTAGTATATTTATTATGTTATTTTTTTGTTTTTTTAATACTTATTCTGCCATGAGTTGGGATTGTATGTGTGTGTGTGTGTGTTACAAGGTATTCTTATAAAAGATAATTTTCATGGCAGTATAGTATTCAATTACAGAAATGTGGATTATTGTGCCATTTCCCCGTTTTTGGAATCATAGGCTTTCTATTTTTCCTGAAATACTGAATGATTATCCATATTCAAAAGTATTTGGGTCCATGAATATTTATTCAGAATCAATTCCTATATTTATAATTACAGGCTTTTGATATGTTAGAAATTACTTTGGAGGTAATTTATTCTTTGCAAGAATCAAAATGTGATGTCTGAGTTCACAGCTGTTATCCAAGTTTCAAAGAACAGCAGTAAAAAAAAAAATCCAACTTTATCTTCAACATGTTTTCTATTTTGCCTGCTAAGTGTTAGGTTGGGTTACCCTCCAGTATCCAAAGAAATGTTCCTGAAGCTCCTAGAATCTGTCAAGCTTGAGAAATTAATTTGCCATAACCTCAGCTGCAATAAATTCAAAAACAAATCCTGTTAAAATTCTATACTCATGTCAAGAAGTCTCTCACCACTTACCCTAACTTATTTCAGTGTTCATTTTGTGGAGGAATTTGACGTACCTGGCAATGCAGTAAGAACAGGGTAGATGGGGATGGCTAAGACACCCCCACCTTGAGGCCTCTGACCACTACAAGCAAAATCGGTCTAGGATTTTGACGTTGTGATTTTTGATGCAGCCCGTGCGTTCTCTTCCCCACTTTGTTTAGTTTGTGGTAGGCGTGTCATTCCCCTGCCTCGGTGGGTGATGAGTTGGTGTTTTCCACACCTCTGTGCTGCTGGCGGGGCGTCAGTCTGAGCTCACACCCTCCTCGTTGAATTTGGCAGACCTCCTTCTCTACTGACATGAGCCACACTGAGGAATTTCCTGAACCCGAGGAAAATGTCGCACAAGAAGAAAGTGAACTAAAGGAGGAAAGGGAGGAAGGGGAGCCAAAGCCAGAAGAAATCCCTGAAAATATCAACACTGAGAAGATCTCCCTGGAAACACTACTGAAGGTCTTCCGGGGAGGAAATGAAGTACAGGACACTAACAGATTTGCCAGTCACCTGAAGACAGAGAACATTTATGCAGAGGTTGGTTACATTTGTTTTGTAAAAGAAGAACCCATATGGGAGGAGAGTTGCCCTCAATTTCAAGCACATTTTTATTCTGAAAATATATCTTGTATAAAAGTTATAGTAATTTCCATTTGTACATAAAAGCATTCTTTAATATCTGTAGTAACGTTAAGGTAATTAAATTCACTTTTGTTTTTCCTTAAAGAGCTTCATACAAACATTTCAGGACCTAGGTGCCAAGAACCTGGAGCCAATTGAAGTTTCCATTCTCTTGAAACACCCTTTTGTTCAGGACCTGATTGCGAATTATTCAGACTATAAAATTCCCGTGAGTATGACCCAAAGTTATCCTAATTCTAGTGGGCTCAGGCTCAGGGCATGCTGGGCATTCTAATGTGGGCTAGTAGGAAGGAGAAGAAGCTGAACAAGGCTAACAGGCCAGTCTCCAATAGCCACTGGGCCGGAGGCTCGTGCGCAGTTGAGGCAATCTCTGTATCTGGGGTCTGCTTCATCATGAGCACAGTGCTACCTTAGGTCTACGACCAAGGCTGGAGGTAGGTAACAGTTACAGCTGGTGGACCATCAGGGTTCTGGGTCATTCTATTCACGTAGTGAAGCTGCACACTAAGAGTATGAAGAATAGAATCCCTCCTGCCAAAGAGAGCTAACCAAGACCATGGTCTTCAGCCAAGTGCTGACATATTCTTCATATTTAAATCACGGTATCCACTGTGTGTGTAATAGAAATGGTAGTGCATACAGCAGGTCGGATACCAATTCCATCAGGAAACAGTGTGCAAGCTGGGGAGGCTGACCACGAAACCCAGAGAAAATGGGATAGCTCAGTGGAAGAAAGGAATGACCACTCAGAGATCACACTGTGACCAAGCACATCTCACCACACAGGCCAAAGGTGCGCCCACTGGAGCTAGTCCCAGGTCTGTGACAGCAAGGGCTCAACGGGCACAGACTGACACCAACCACTTTCAGAGTGCAAGGTGCTATGTCCTCTCACATACCAGTTTTAATCAGCATGAAGTCTCTCTATTTGACTCCTACTAGTTGTTTATTGGGCTTGCTGAGCTTAAGATAAAAGCACTTTCACTTTGGTAAACACAGGTGGTCTAAGAAACATTTTCTCCTGAATTTTCAGAAATAGTCTATTATCTTTTAAAGAAGCCCAGCAATTAAACTATCCAGTCTTAAATATCTTTGTACCCAAATTTATTTTCCCTGAAATGCTGATCCACTTTTGTTGGTTTGTTTCGTAGTGCTGGGAGTGGAACCCAGAGCCTTGTGCATGCTAGGCAAGCAATCTACCATTGAGCTATACCCCCAGCCTGCTGGTTCCCTTTAATATTAAATTTTATTACCTGTATTAGTACTCATTGAAATTGATTTCTAACAAACCAGGAGTTTTCAAGACACTAAACACACCCAGGAGTGAAATATAATTACAGAATTTAAGAACTCAGCTCTGAAGTCCTAAAGCCATGGGCTAGAATCTCTTGTCCACTACTATCTAATCTGATTTTAACTGACTCTAATTCTGACTATCTCATTTTAAATGTGGAAAACAGCCTTTCCTATTCAAAAGGCCTTGGTGAGGATAAGTTATACCATGCATGTAGTTCTTGGCATGGCATCTGGCATGTGAAAAATGCTACATAAATGGTGGCTATTTGCATCATTGATACTGAGCAGCTACTACTGAGACCAGTAATGTACCCTTTCATGGGAGAGAAAAATGAGTACCAAACTTAGCTGCTGTTCTCAAGCACATTCCACTTATTTTTACATTCAGGAATTTCAAGAGAATGATGTTTAAAGTAAACCAAGTACAAAATTATAGGAATTCAAAACACGACTTATTTGTATGCTAGAAGCATGGAGAGAATCTGCCCAGGATAAGCTGCATCTTAAAAGATGGCCAGGATTTTGGAAAGTGGGGCAGGAAGACAGGAAGCCTGCATGGATTTTGGTACTGGGATAGGGAGTTGCGCAGCATGCTAGGTGAAAGGGAGACCAGGGCCAGGGCATGAGAGAAGGATTGGGAAGAACAGGGTCTGATCCCTTGAAGGGCCATCCAGATATCCAGATATCAGTGACCCCACAGAATTAGTAAAATCAGAAGTAGGGAAGGAAGAAAAAAAGAGGGAAAGAGAGAGAAAAAAAAAGTTGAAGACTCAGAGACAGTCATACTTGTCCTGTTGGGTCTCTTGCTCCAGATATCCATGAACAAGTTAGTAGATCACATTTTTAAAATGAACTTTAACCACAGTGATGTTATTTGAAGATCGTTCAAGATAAGCAAAGCAAAAGCTCGAGTGTGGTTTTTCAGGTTAAAATGTTTGCTGTTATAAACAGTGGGAAGTGAAGGTTGTTTCCTATCTGCTGTGTTTACAAGGTCTGTATTTAGAAGCAGCAACATTTTTAAATACGTATAAGAAAAAATTTGAGTATGTGTAATTATGATGATAAACTTTAACTTTTGCTCCTATTGTAAGGTGAACTGGCTTTGAACTTATGAAAATGGGCTCTGGAACCACACACACACACACACACACACACACACGAAGTGTGTGACCTTGGGCAAGCGACCTCAAGAGGTCTTCTTTGAATACTATGTTTATAATAACTAATGCTAACCTTATTAAGTTAGTTTGAGAAGAAATGAGCTGATATGTGGTTATCTGATACTCCATAGCATGAGAAAAATCAGACACTCCAGACATATTTAAACCAGGCTTGGCTAAATTTATAGCTAAAATCGGGCCATAATTGTTAGTAGCAGTAGATGAAAGGCAGAGCATTCTGTCCCTGGCATAGAAAAGTCGTCTGCTGCTCTAAAACTCCACAAATCTGTAGAAATTATTAATTTGGTATTACAATCTTCTTTTAATTAATGGTGAATACTCTCTCTTTTATTCTTTATAGAAAAATAGTCTTTTTGACTTGCCCATTACAGGCCTGAGTCTGCATAATTACCTTCACAAATGTTATGCAATCTAAGATGACAAGTCCATTATTAGATGAGGAAAGTGGGGTTTCCAAGGAAACAACTAGTCAGTTGCAGGGTACAAATCAAACCAAAGAACAACTTACTGTTAATTGCCACCATATATTAGGTGAACATTCACCCTAAATTCTTTATTAATATTTGTAACTTTACTTTGAATGTTTTCTCTTAGGATATTAAAATGATTTTCCAAAGAAGTGAGCACGTACAAGGAAGTAATGGAGAAAGATCACCTTCAAGACTTACAGAGGAAAAGAAATGAACACAGAAGAGTGTGATTTTTTTATTATTTGGCAATGAATCTTCCAAAAATCAAATGTGACCATGGAGTCTGTCGTGTATGTTTTCACTGGTAGACATGACCCCTGCCAGTTGATAAAGAGGGCCTGAAAAGGGGAACTTGCTCAACTCAAGGAATCTTCTATCCTAAACCTGCAAGGCAAAGAGCAAAAATCCAATGTAAGCAAGGGTGTGTTTTGGAATGATTCTGAAAATAGAAAGCACTAGAAATAATATATTAGAAAAAAATAACACAGAGACTTCATGAGTGCTCCCTCTGAGAAGTATTTACATTAAGCAAATATAATGAAAAGTTCCCCCAAATTGCACATCAGGGCAGAACCACTCTGTGCATGTTACATTCCTTGCTCCATGTGACATAAAACCTCAAGGTTCATCCCAGTAACCAAGGAGATGGCTGCGTTATCTAACGGCTAGTACAGCCATGCTCCTGTTATCTCTTCATAATTATTTCTCCATTGACTGTTTCTCTCCAGTTGTACTTGTGAAAATGTATCATTTTGCTTGATAAATCAGAGACATTCAATGAGACTTATTTTGAAAAAGTGTCTTAGAAAAATGCTGGTGGCTGGGCTTCTATGACACCCTTTCTTGTGCTGCTCCCTCTGAGGGTCTTTTGGTGGATCCTCCTCTTCCACTCAACCTCCAAATGATGAAGGGTCCCAGGAGTCAGCTTTATGTATCTAAAGCCAGTCTCTGGGTCTCAACCATTTCCACTATTATTATAGAGGCTATTATAGGCTTATATTCCTAAAATTTCTATTCTCACTTTCCTCCAAAATCTAAACTTCTCCACCTTAATACCCGTCTGATTGCCACATGGATGGCTAGAAGTCACGCCAAACTCAACATGCCTGAGGCAGAATTCTCGATTTTTCCTCTCCCTCAAACCTGCTCTCCTCTACATTCTTCCCTATTTCAGGTAAATCTGACCTCCTTTTGTTCAGACCAAGGACCTTGAAGTCATTCTGGACTTCTTTCTCTCTCACCCTACCTCCAGTCCATCAGCAGATAGTGTAGCACATGCCCTCAAGAAAAATGCATCTATGATCTAATCTTCCCTAGTCCCATCACAAGGAGGCGGGGCCAAGCCACTGTCATTTCTTGCCTGGATTATTGCAGCAGCAGCCCCCTAACCTGTCAACCCTCTTCCTGCTTTGCTCCCCCTACAGCCTGTTCTCACCACAGCAGCCAGAGGGAGCCTTTGACCAGGCAAGTCAGGCCATGCCCTCCTTCTGCTCCAACTTTCTACTGGCAACCTGTCTCACAGAGTCCAGCCAAGTCCTAATCTTGACCTTACCCCCTGCTAACTCTCTGATCACATGCATCTGCTCTTCTCCCCCTTTCTCTCTCTACTTAAACAACAAACCCACCTTGCTGATCCTGGAGCACACTGACCACACTTCTGCCTCAGGGCCTTTGCCCTTGCTATTCTCTCTGTTTGGAATGACTTTTCTTCCCCATCTCTAGATGGCTTGTCCTCTGACTTACTTTGGATCTCTTTTGAAATGTCACTTTTCCTAAGGTCTCACCTCACTATCTACTGCAAAATAGGAGCAATCTACCACGTTCTACTCTGTACTCTTATGTTTTTCTCCACTGCGCTTGTCAGCATCAGGAAAATCATATTTTTGTTCTTTACACGTTATGACAGTGAGTTGAAAATCCTGAAAATCAGAGTTTTATGCATTTTCTTTATTGCTGCCCTTAGACTAAACTCACAGCCTGCTTTTTATTGTTATATCTGTACAAAATATGTTGAAATATCATATCAAGATTGATCACTAAAACAAAGAGCTGTCCAAGACAATTTCTATTATTAGTGGGAATTATATTCCATTTCTAGAAAGTGATTCATTTCCTAGTTTTGCTTTTTGTGGGCTAAGACTCAACCAAAGCTCCATTCCCAGAACCCTTGTCTCCAAGATAACGGAGATAGTAACCCAGAGGTGTACTTGGGAGATGGAAAAGAAACTTTATCAGAAAACTCAAAATTTCTTAGCTGATTCACATATGGGTGCAGAGGGTAATTCTAATTATCCTACAGAAGGGAGAAGACAGCATCAGAAAATAGAGTTAAAAGAAATAAAATGTCATGATAAGGATGAAGTTAGTAAACTAGTCCCCATTTTATTAAGGATGGAACAAAACAAGGCAACATTACATTACAGTAGAAAAACAGCAAAACAGAGCAAGAAGAATTCCTTGCTGTAATAATTCTCCTGCACAATACTGTTAGGTAGGGAAATTGTATAATCTGTCTCATGAGGCAAGGAGTGAAATTCACACTGAAACCAGAGGTTTTACGGCATTCTTCCAGAGAAAGGAAGAAGGTACTAGAAGCTTACCTCCCTGAGGTCCTTTCAAGCCTTGTAATTCTAGTGAATTCACAACCTTGAAACATTCTTATAATGTAACCAAAACCACTACTGGCTCTGGGTACATGTGCGCACATGTACGCGCTCACACACACACACACACACACACACACTGTGGGTTTTTAAGAGTGCTATGGTGGCCTGGTAACCAAAATAAATTCATGACATATTAACTTAGAAATAACTAAAACTCCTAAGCCTTTGTTTCAAGCTCTTAATTGAACATTCGACCCATCTTAACAGGTCCCATTTTTAAAAAATCAGAATACAATCACCTAGATATAACCCTACTCAAATTCATCTTCTAAATTAGCCCTTATACTTAAAAAATATAATTTTTAAAAAGTTATTTATAATAAATTCCTTTATTGAAAATGCGTGTGTCATCTGCTTGTGAGGTAGCACAAGGCCCTGGTCCCAAGGCCCTGCCTGGCGGAGGGCACGTAGGCTCCCTGGCCGGCCTGCCCACTCCTCCCTGGCAGCACCTTCCTGCCCCTGCAAGGCCTTGCCTCACCTACAGACCTTACTGTATTCCCATTCCTGGGCTTTTCTCCACAGGGATGGTGAAGCCAAGAGGGCATCATCCTCACTGAGAGCCAGTGGCCATGTGACTACCCCAGCCAAAGGCCAGAGCAGATACACATTCCTGCTTCAGCCTCTCTGTACCTCCTTTAGACTTCCCACTAAATAAATGTCAGTGTCATAACCAAAAAATATTTGTTACCAGAGCCCAGGCCAGAGGCTGCTGGGGTCCCAACTGACTGGATCTGGTCACCTGCTTGTATCAGAAGGAAGAAAAAATGATATAAAAAGGAAAAATGAATTTAATCACCATTTGGGCCAAATTGTAAAGACAACTGCTAATTAATCAATCTGTCTTCATTTTGCCCATCCTACAGAAACAGTAAAATCTATAGGAACAAATGCCAGGAAGTATACACCTGTAGATCCAGCCAGACTGTGCAAGGCAGAGATGCTACAATTCCAGTCCTCCCTCCATGCATCCTTCTGGCACCAGGCCGGGCTTTGGGGGCACTGTCAGCTTCCATCCTCCACATGAGATGATGGTCTCCCTGTAGGAAGCTGTGATATGAAAACAGATAAATAAATTAGCAGGAAATGGCTGGGGGCAGAGCAACAGATTGGGACTTCTAATTTTAAATCAGTCCTTGTCACATGTTGATAATGGCTTTTATCCAAATTTAATGATTTATCAAGACTTTTCCATTGCAGTTTGAAAATTCCTCCCACATTCCTGGCCTGCCTTTCATGACTCATCCTTAGCAATTCTCCTTCTGACCACCCTACTCCACCCATAGCTCACCAACCTTTCAGAAGTGATCATTGAAGTTTTATGCATTAAAAATAGTTCTGCAAATACAGCAACAATCAGCCATTTCCTCATCATAGTGAAAAAAAGATTGCTTTGAAGCTTTTCTTTCTAAAATTAGTCTTTTCAATTAGGGATGGAATCACCATATGACCCAGCTATCCCACTCTTTGGTACTTTCCCAAAAGATCTAAAATAGTCACACTACAGTGATTCAACACCTCAATGTTTATAGCAGCACAATTCACAATAGATAAGTTATGGAATCAATCCAGAATACTGTCAGTAGATGAATGAGATAAGAAATTGGGAGATATATATGATGGAGTTCTACTCAGTCAGGAAGAAGAATGAAATTATGGCATTTGCTTGTAAATGAATGGAAATGGAGAATATCATGCTAAGTGAAAAAAGCCAAACTCAGACAGTCAAAGGTAGAAAGGTTTCTCCCATATACAGAAGCTAGAGTAAAATAAAAGAAAGGGGAGGGAAGGATGGGATAATATAAAGAACCAATCAAATATAAATTAATGGACGAGTAAAAGGAAGTCAAGTAGAGGAAGAAGAATGGAAAAGGGGAGGGAGAATGGGAAGGAAAAGGGGGTAGAAAAAGGAGGAATCATGAACTGTAGTTGATTTCCATGCATGCATGAGTTTGTCAGGATGAACCCAACTACATGTTACTATGAAGCTCTGATTTTTTAAAATGAGCCTTTCTTCCCAACATATTGGCATTATTTCCCCATTATCTAATCATCTAGTATTGGTATTATGTTTAGTTTCCCCTTTGACTCTCCTGATTAACCATGTTCCTACTCTGGTCATAGTAGTCACTAACTCATATTTTTACAATTTTTATTACATTTTTCTTACCATTTTTATTAAATTAACTATATATAACATAAAATATTACATTTTAATCATTTTAAGGCTATGATTCAGTGGCATTAATTCCATTCACACTGTTAGGCAACCATCACCACTATCTATCTCCAAAACCACTTCTTCTTCCTAAATAGAAACTCTGTGACCAGCAGCGGGAACTCCATTCCTCCTGCTGGACCCTGGTAACTTCTAATCTTTCTGTCCCTTTGTCTAAATATTTCATATATATGGTATCATACAGTCCTTTTGTGCCTGACTTAGTTCACTTTCCTCAGTGTTTTCTAGGTACCATATTGAAGCATGCATCATAAGTTCATTCCTCTTCATCAATGAATAATATTTCACTGTATGGATATATACTTCTGTTTATCCATTCATTGGTTGATGCACAGTTGGGTTGTTTTCACCCTTTTTGGTTATTGTGAATGAAGCTGAAGTGAATATGGGTGTACATTTATCTATTTGAGTCACAAGTATCTGTTTTAAGTTCTTTGTGGGTTTTTTTCCACTTTTTATAAGTTCAGTAACTTCTTATTTCTTCTTCAGTGATCCCTTCTATTGCCATTACTATAGCATTGTGACAAAGCACTCCAAAACGTTGTGTCTTAAAGCAATGACAATGTTTGTAAATCTGTGACTTGGGTCTCAGGCAGATAATTTGCTTCTGTTTTACACAGAGCCCCTGGGGCAGCTCAAAGCCTGGGAGCTTGAGCCTTCTCACGACTTGTTCATATGTCTGAGCCTAGACTGGGAAGACGTGAAGAGCTGGGGAGCCGAGCACCAATACAGTTTCTCCATCTTGACAAAGTGATTCAAGTCTCTAAAAGCACATGTCCCAGGAGGGAGAGCCAGGCAGAATCTGTGTTGTCTTTATGACCTAGTTTCAGAAATTGCTCACCATCCCATCACCACATTCAACTCTTTAGAATGCAGTCACTAAGGCCAGATCGTATTCCATCATCTATGGAAAAGTGACAGAGATTTTGAAGATGCTTCTTAAAAGTCCATCCTTGATAACAGTGTTATGTTATTCCTATTAGGATCCTATTGATTATAAAATTCAGAGACCCATGTTTTCTCTTAGGAAAATCATGGAAACCCCAAATCAGGAGTTGGAGGTAGGAACAGGCTTGGTTTGATAGTATTACTTGCTTCAAAGCAGCTCCCAGCACTTCAAACACAAATAAATGTTAGTAACTGCTCCCTATAGAATTCCATCGTTAAGATGGCTTAGCCATGAACTGCAGGTCTTCCACTTTTTGTCTTTTCTGCCTTTGGATGAATAAAACCTCTGCTATCTAGTTAGAAACCCAAGACAGAAATTTTTATCACTTTGCCTCATTCTTTTTGCTTCAGGCCATATCTATTTTGTTAGCATAGGCTGCTTTCCAATTTCACATGATCAATTGGCAGTGGGATATAAAAAACCACTTGGATGGCCCAGGAAGGGTGGGGGCCTGCTGAACGGCAGATTTCTTCATAAGAGGCAGACCATCAAAGGTGCTATATATTTCCAGGAGAAAGTTGGAGTCAATTGTCATTTTTAACTATCAACTAAATCCTTAAATTCAGTTAAAAGAGTCAGATGAAGTCATAGTATAAGCTTTGGATCAGACTCTGATTTTGCCCCTGGGTGACCTTGGAAAGCCACCAAGTTATATAATTTTAGCCCTGGAGAAGACTTCGGAGGTCATCTCATCCAACTCCCTCTGTTCACAAGAACCTCCTCCACAAAAGTCTAGCTTCCTATTCTCAATTTACCATGTCAATAGCTAAACCCTTATATCTTAGTCTATCTGAAATTTTAATAGTAGCATTCAATATGTATTTATTCAGAAGCATTGGGGGAATTTAGGGATCTTCTTAATTTAAAACTTGAATGTTAATCAGATATTAAATTTCCTAAAAAGTTTATGTATTTCAAGGCTCCTTCTATCCCACCTATATACCAATTTACCAATTTTGAAAAGCCAACTCTCAAAAAGGTCATCATGTCAGAAGGTGATGAACAGTTGAGCCAACCACTCCATCAGGAAACAGTTCTGCTATACACCATTGTACTTTTAGTTTATATAAATTATAAAACTTTGAGGTTGCCCAGAAATTATTTTAAAACCATCAAAAATAATATTGCCATATCCTTTAAAAATAAAAAGAAACTGATTCTATTTTCTACTAAGTTTAAATAGCACCAGTAAAGTAGAAATGAAGGAATTGCCTGGACAAAAGATGGTAAAGGAAGGTGAAATGACCATCGATGTGGAGACATGAAAAAAAATCCTCCTCTACCACTTTCACTGGTTCTCGTGCTCTGGAAGGTGAATGGCAGAGCAGAGAAAGTGGTGAATTTCACTGTTCACTCTTAGATGTCTCTCTCTTCTCTTGCTTCCTCTGAATAAGTTACTTGTTTCTTCACACCTGACTCTCAAAAAGCTAAAGTTCTTTAGCAAGAACTAATATTTTGGATCTGTCCCTTGGGGAAATCTGCTCAAGAGGTCACCATTACTTCCATATCAAAGGTCAAAGAGGTGTTAGCATCAACTGCTTGCAATAGCTATTTTGGGATCAATTTCTGTTTCCATAGCATTGGTCTCATTGAAGGTCTATGGCATCTCTCCCTATGGCTACCTTTTCCCTGTCCTCATCAATGTCGTGCCCAAAATTGTGAACCTCCTCAGTACATTCCACTATTTGCCCTCTATCTCCTGCTGATGCTCAGTTATTATTGCATGATCCATTAACACTGAATATAAATCTTTCCTAAACTTGCTACTATTCAATTATTTTTTTACACACCTTCAGTAAATCTAATTGCATTTCCCACAAGTATTGATCCATTTTTTCTTAATTCCTACAAATGTTACACCACTTCTCTTTTTAATCAAGACCCAAAAGCCTCAGAGGATGAGAATAGCATGACCGGAGCACTTGCCCATGTGCTAGGAACTGTGCTAGGTTGTGTGGGGGGGCAGTGGTTTGAATCATGGTCTTTCTGACTCTCTCATGGCTGCATTTGCACTGGAAACTTCTCATGCAAAGGTGCAGCTCAAGATGGCCCAGTTGCTATGGTGATGCCACCCAGAGGAGGCTACATGCAAAGGTGTGCAGCTGTATCAGTTGAGACGGTGAGCTCAAGCACCAGCTCCCGGGGATACAAAATTCTAAGTGTAATAAGACAACTAATGTCTCGCCATTCCTGCATCCTTCATATTACTCACTTTGCAGAAACTTTCCCACAAATAACATTTTGATGACAAAACCTATACAGTAAATGTGTTGAGCTAGCTCTGGGTCAGTCAGACCCAGCCTCCATCAGGGCTTGGCTGCCCACCTGGCCCCAGCCTTTTCTCTCTCTGTGTGCCTGTTTGTCTTCATTCCCCATCACCCCTCAACAGTTTCTGAATTAGTGGCCGTGCTCGTCATGGCAAGATTGCATGCATAGCTTTCTTTTTTTTAATTTAGTATGTTTATTGTTTGCATATTGAAACTTTTTAAAAAGTTAAAGAGGACTTCAATAAATAGAGAGATATACCATGTTTATCTATGAGAGAATTCAAAATTGTCATGATGTCAATTTTCTCAAAAATGATCCATGAAGCCTGTAAAATTCTCAGCATTAATCATCCTGTCCATGCCTGTACCTCCACCCTACACTAAGAGATTATACTAAATTTTATTATTGGTTATACCGGTCAACGTTTATTTCTTTATGATGATACTAGTGCCACTTAAAATGCATACCTAGAAAGTTCAACTTCCAAAAGAATGTGCTCATTCCTCCAGCCAAAACCTGAGTAAAGGCCCCTGACTTGTTTCTTCTTAGAACAAGGACTTTAGACAACTTAGAATTTGGGGCTGGGGATATACC